ACTCTATTATTTCACTCACTTAATTATTGGCTGATTTTGTAATTGTTCCCATACTTAATTACTATTTTTGTGTTTTATTTTTTAGAAAACGTTTACACCCAACATCATTGGGCGAAAAGCCAAAGAGGAGTAAGTTCATTTAACCTTAAAACTAAAAATATGTCAGAGAAAACCAATTTTTTTTTGGACTAATCATTTTGTCTGTCGCAACAGAACAAAAGTTGACGGCGGGCAGAGGAGAGAGAGGAGGGATGGAGATCGAGGTCGAGGTCCCAGAGATAGAGGCAGGGGCCGAGGTCGCCCTGAGGTCATCCAGTCCCACTCTATCTTTGAACAGGGGCCCGCGGAGATGATGATGAAAAAAAGAAGTAGGACTACATTTGAATAACCACAGCTTTTTCTTTTTTTTCAACCAGTGTAATTACTACACCACACATTCATAAATGATCTTGATCTAAGTGAATCCCTGTCTCACACACAGCTGGCTATGAAAATGAGAGAGATGCTCCGAGCGTGGGACCCTCACCCATCATCAATATTAAAAAGGAGAAGCGAGAGACGGAGGAAGAGACCAAAGAGATTCTGCGCAGTCTGGAGAGAGACAATGCAAGTCCCACAGTTGTCAGACATCTTTATTAATAAGTTTTTTATTTTACATTTTATATTCATTTAACTTTCCTTTCTTATTGTATTCAGTTTATAGACGATCCCTTCCTGAGGAGTGAGCAGAGGAGCTGCCCGGTCCAGCTTCCCCTCGCTGTATCAGGATGGGGGTTCAAGGAGGAATTTACTACCACTGCTGTTAAAATTGAAAAAGTGGAGGATGGTGAACCCATGGAATCCACAGTTGAAGGTACCTGCAGACTTTTGGCATGTTGATTCCACTTGTTTCATTTTCCTTTTTTAAGATACAACTAAAAAAAGTCCAAGTCAGCAGCTTGTGTTTCCATTCTTTATGGTAGCAGGAAATAAATGACAACCATGTTCAGGGTTCCCACATGTCCTGGAAAATGTGGAAATTAAGAGACTAGTTTTCCAGTCATGGAAACACCTAGAAATTGATTAAAATGACCAGATGTCCTGGGAATTATACTATTATACTATGTTGCCATAGAACATTTTAATTGTATTTTAGCCCCTCACTCATTTACATTTATTGTTGTGGTTGATAATTGTGCAATACTTACACATTCTACTTCTTCCTTTAATAGGCTAATAGGTGACATTTTTTTTCCAAAATAAAATAAATTCTACTTTGGACTGTATTTATGGGCTCTGTCTGAATGAATGTTACAGTTAAAAGAAAACTTTAGTCAAACTAAGCTAACGTGGAGTGTCCCATAAATGCTGACCACTGTGCTGTCTTGTATTGTCAAGAAAAAGTCCTGGAAAATGACTTCTCAAAAAGAGTGGGAACCCTGATGTTGCTGCTCTTTAAAAAAAAAAAACAAAAACACACTATCTTCTCCTCAGTGAAACAGGAGCCGGAGGAAACCGAAATAAAGCAGTCGGAAGTAGCCTTCAAGCCTCCTCCTCTCCCTGAGCCCGAGGTTCTGCCCGACCTGCTGCATAAATGGAGTCTGAGCAAAGGGGAGGAGCTGTTCTTCATGCAGCTGCCCGACTCGCTGCCCGGCCAGCCCCCCACCCAAGAGCACCGGCCGGTGAAAACAGAGGTGCAGTCAGAGGACGGGCAGTCTGTGCTGCTGAAAACAGAGTCTCAGGTAGATCTAGTTGTTGTCTACATGGCGAATACACGACGATATTGAGGTTACGTTTGTGTTGACGGTAGCTTTAATTTAAAGCAGGAGGAAGAAGCTGAAGACAACTGCTGCAATCTGAAAGACCTGCGGGAGGGTCTTGTAGGAAAGATGCTGGTGAGGAAGTCTGGCAAGGTACAGCTCATACTGGGACATGTGACACTTGATGTGTCTCTAGGAACCTCGTGCTCTTTCCTACAGGTATGAAAGTATTATATTTGTCTCCATACTGTACCTGTATCTCTGTAGTGGAGCTAACAGTGTCTCTCCACAGGCTGCTGTTCAGTATTTTATCATAGAATCCGAATTATTAACATTTCTTCCCCACCCTCTGTTTTCTCAGGAGCTGGTCTCTATTGGTACGGAGGGAAGAACGGGAGACTTATCTGTATTGGGAAACGTCAAACACAAAATGGTTTGCTCCCCAGACTTCGAGGCTCTGCTGGAGAGCAGTGCTTGATGACGTATGAATGCACTTGCGTGTGTGTTGTGATGTTTACTATGGACTGGCCATGTACCCTGGAAGCTGACGATGGCCGTTGATGGCGCTTTTGTGTTCTCGGAGTGGCTATAATAACATATTGAAATACACTATATATAAATACGAATTTATTTTCTTCTTGTGGAATAGGCATATTACTTCAGAGGTTCAAAGGTTGAATGGTGTGCCAAATTTCAGTACTGTTGAAATTAACTTGACAAGACTGTACATGGATGTAAATGTGTGAATAAAAAAAAGTTTTTGTTATTTCAGTATGTTGGTGTCAAATGCTTTAAGTGGTTGGTTCGCCCATGTTACTATAAAAAAAACTTCCAGTGGCTATGCAGATACCCTCTTGGTTTTATTTGCTGAGGTTTTAGATTTCTGCCTCACAAACACAATGGAGGTGAAAGACTTTTTGTTTGTGGTGACTGAAGGATTTGATTTGACAAATCCAACAAGGTAGTAAGTGTCTAAATGTGTTTGTTCTTTCTCTTTATTTTCTGCTGAGAGAAAATATAAGAGAAGGCAACTCCAGATGCACGAAATGTGCTCAACCATCAAATCTGTTCTTACCCAGGTGTACTGAATGATGAGTCCCACTTGACCTTAAACTGGAGGCCTGTGGCTGTTTTCTATTAATAATGCCCAGTAACACACATATATAAGGACAGGTGGTGTGCAGTGTGCAAATACTACATGGCCAAGAATTGGAGAGATAACACCAAAAAAGTAGACATAGTATGAAAATACAAATAGAAAAATAAACACACCAAGTAGCTCAGTACATTAAAGTATTACTCAGTATTGTATCCAAGAGCTTTTATAGTTTAATAGGAATCAATAGAGCAATAGTATTTCTGTAGACCACAAATGTAATTATCCAATCACTACAATTACACCAATTTCACTCAAACATAATTTAATCAGATTATAGGATATTCATGACTTTTTTATGTTCTTTTAATTTAAAACCCATGTCTCTTTGCGTTGGACAAATTTATGGATTGTGAAAACTAGATGTTCTGTTCTTATCTTGGAGTAAGAGTGCTCTCGGCCACTCCTACTACCTAACAGAAGAGCAAACATGAGAAAACACTGGTGAATCCCTGGAATAGGTGGCCACTAACAAAATAAGAACAAATCATGGATTCAAACAAAACTTACAGAAACTGTGTTTTTATATATTGATTCTTACATGAGGCCTAGTAATTTAACCCTAACCAGGGTTATGTTCCTGATGCGCAAACTTTGTGTTTCATGGAAAAAGCACATTCTGAATTTATTAAATAAAGCCAAATAACTAATTTCAAAATAATAAATATAAAAGGTTTACCCAGTTGCTGAATTAATAATAAAAAAAAAAACGTCCCTTGTATTTGTAACATGGCAAACAAAACATTAGAGCACATGTTTTTCTAGTTTCCTGTGTCCAAAAGATTTTGGTCAGATATAAAGAACATACCGACCCCCAAAAGGGAAAAAAAAAAAAAAAAAAAAAAAAAAAATATTTAAAAATAAAAAAAATTATTTTCTTATTATAAAAAATTTTTTTCTTAATAGAAAAAATTTTTTTTTTTTAAAAAAAAAATAATTTTTATTAATAAATAATTTTTTTTTTTTATTAATTAAAAATTTTTATTTTTTATTTAAAATTTATTTTTAATTAATAATAAATAATTTTTTACCCATAAATATATTTTTTAAATAATAAATCCAAATTTAATATAAATTAAAATATATTAATTTTAATATTTTTTTAAAAAAAAAAAAAAATTAAAAAAAAAAAAAAAAAAAAAAAAAAAAAAAAAAAAAAAAAAAATTTAATTAAAAAAAAAATAAAAAAAAAAAAAAATTAAAAAAAAAAATATAATTTTTAAAATTTTTTTTTTTTTTTTTTTAATAAAAAAAAAAAAAAAAAAATTAAAAAATAAAAAAAAAATAAAAAAATAAAAAAAAATAAATAAAAATAAATTTATAAAAAAAAAAATAAAATATAAAAATTAATAAAAATTTAATAAATAAAAAATAATTAATAATATAAAAAATAAAAATTAATTTATATTTAAAATTAAATTATTATTTTTAAATTAAATTAATTATTTTATTTTTTTTTTTTTAATTTTTTTATTTTTTAATAATTAAAAAATTATTATTTTTAATTTTAAAAAAAAATTTAAATTAAATCTAAAAAAAATAAAAAAAAAAAATAATAAATTATTTATTTATATATAATATATTATTTAATTATAATTAAAAATATATAAAAAAATATAAAAAAAATATAAAAAATTAAAAAAAAAAAAATTTAATTTTTAATATTTTTTTTTTTTTTTTTTTTTTTTTTTTTTTTTTTTTTTTTAAGAACTGGCTATCATTTAAGGTTAATGACATTTTATTTCGTGTGGTCAATTTAAATTCACCTATCACATGATTAATATGATCATTCTCATATTCACTGTTGTACAATGGAGAAATATGACTTTAAATTATTTTCATGGTTTATTTGGTTTCTTATTTATGCTTCCATATGTTATTATTCTCATAAACCCTCCTATTTTCTCTCATCTTGTACTCTAAGCACGTTTTCTCCACAACCTGTGCGCTTGTTAAAAAAAAAAAAAAAAAACATTGCTCTACAGCGCCACTAGCGGTCACTGTGTGTAACTACACCGAACACATGAGACTGCAGTGTCTTGTGTTGACCACCAGGTGTCACCGCAGCACCTGGCTGTGCTATGTGCGTCCAGCTGAGGGGGCAGGCCGTTTCCAGAGTACGTCGCCTGTACCGTCGAGTCTCCCGTTGTCTGCCCATGTTGTCCGCCGGGTGGAGTTTGGCTACAGACAAAAGACTGCTGATTGACCAGTGGAGCCCTCTTACTGTACCGGGCGGACCGGGACCATAACGCCACTGAAGGTAACGTTAATTAAAACTTAAACATGCGTGTTGAGAACTGTTGCGTGGATGTCATAACAAGCCTTTGTGAGATATTAAGTTTCACGCAATGAACCCGAGGGCTCAGAAAGAAAAAGAAAGAAAAGAAAGAAAGAAAGGTTGTGCTCAGCGTTTCACGTTAACAGCCGGGCTGAGCGGAGAGGAGCTAACCAAATGTAGCATAACGGGTTAGCTCAACGGAGGCTATCTGTTTGTGTTTAACACCGTTAACGTTAGAGGAGCATCACGACCTGCAGCTAGCGTGGGATTAATTGGCCATTTTGTGTATATAAAAAAAGGGGGGGGGAGGTTGCTAGTAAAGGGAGAGTAACTGTGATGAAGTGTGGTGTATTAGTGGTGGTGGTGGGGGGGGGGATGGAGCCTCTTGTTAGCCGTCCTGCTGCATCATCAGAGCCGCTGGAGGGGTGAAGGAGGAGGGCCTCTAACGTTAGCCTGTTAACTTATGTGGCTCCTGTATTGATATTGATAAGGGATGCATGGTCAGTGTGGCTATCACAGCTTTTTTTTTGTTTGTTGTTGTTTTGTTTTCGTATGCGAGCATTCACTTTGTCGTCACCGGTTTCCTGCGTTATTACATTCACACTGCATGTACCCAGCTCGGTGTTATTGTGACCTGGCTTCATCCTCACTGTTTGTGTATCTTTTGCAGGACACACTGAAGCTGCAGAGCCACCACCCTCTCTCCCTTTGGATTTCCCCCCCCCCCTTAGACAAGGGAACCACCTGCTGTGCCCACTTGTTTCATTGTTTACATCTCTTTCACCAGCGGGGAGGCTTTTGCTCAAATAACAAAGGACATCTGCAAGCAAGGACCTGTCATCATTTCAACGCAGCTGTACCTTCCTTTTTTTTCCTGGAATTGAATTCAACGAAGTTTCTGAACCCCCAGATTGAAGAAATAATGAAATTCACCGATATTGCCCAAGGGGGCAACGTCAAGATGGTCACTTGTACTTGTATTTATTCTCTGTTCAGTGCAAGGAGAAGCGCCGTCCCATAAGTCACCTTGATGACGGCCTTTTTCTGACAAAAGATAAGGGCCACTTTGGGCCAGGAGGTGGAGAGCCGTACCTCCTTTTCCATCCGCTCTTGCCCGCTGAGTTCAACTATTTAACACAGTTCTCCAACCCTCCGGACTTTCAAGATGGAGCTATTCTTCAACCCTTTTGACAACTTGGTGTGTATCCTGCTGGGCATCTCCTTCACCGTGTGGTTCACCCTGCTGCTGGTCTTCATTATCGTGCCTGCCATCTTTGGAGTGTCCTTTGGCATCCGGCGTCTTTACATGAAAACCTTGTTAAAGATCTTTGAGGTAGGAGCTAAGACGATGTGTCAATCATGAGTGATTACTTCTGTGTTGAGGATGGAGTGCAAACACTGTATATACACACAACATAGAGGTATGTCTGAAGGTGTGCTCAGATGCACCACATAAACACCCTCTTATTGAACTATAGTCACCTGTATTTGCTTTTCCCTCCCTTTCAATCAACACAATAAATTATTTCCCACTGTAAAGCAGTTATGTAAAATATAATATATACTTCTCAGGGCATTGGTCAGGTGCAGGCTTTATGCTTGTTTTTAGCATCCAGCCAGTGGCCATTGTATTCACTGGCTGATACAGATTAACATCACAGCCACATAGCTGCTCGTCTCTTGTTATGTAACCTTGTCACTAACTGTCGTCTGTGACGTGGCTCCAGCAGGACTATTTCTTACTGATTTGCAGTTTTCCCTCTCATTTTGGCTACTTCAAGATGTCAGTATATAACCATTTAATGCTCTCCTCCGCCCTATTTGACTCCAGACACAGTTATCCAGTTTCCCTCCTTCTGCTATCTCTGGTGTATCTTCACTAGTAAAGCTGTCATCACTTTCCAGCATGTACCCCTGAGAGCAGATCCTGCGCCAGAAATAAATGGACCAGTGGGAGACCTGAGAGATGTTTTCAGCTCATGGTTCCAGTAGCAACCAGTAGATTTAAAGAATAGATCAAAGGACAGATGGACAGTATGGACTGTGCAATGCTGAAGAGATGCTTCATGGTTTGCACTATTTGCATGCGTCTGATTGCTTGCACAGGTCTCCATTTCAGGCTTGTTGGATTAAATAATTGAACGTTCATCGTGGGCGTTCATTAGTTTGATTTCAAAAGCTACAGTGGCATTTTTACTTTTGCAACTAGTTGCTTAAAGATAGTTTGTGTTAGACCCATCAGTGTGTCAATCACTGGTTCCTGCTAACTTAAGTGTAAGATATTAGTGCTGTAATCCCACGCCTGTAATACTTTATAGGGGATAAACAAGTAAGAAACCTCTTCCACATGCAGCTCTGGAGCCACATGCTGGCATGATGGACCCACTCTAGTTTGTCCCTGTTCTCTTAGTATAAGGAGCAGCTCTCTGTGCTCCTCCTCTCTCCACACAAGGAATCCTTACTGTCAGCTGCAGCTGCATTTTAATACACTGAGTAACACAACTTGTCCTGACACGATTTAAAGGTAGCTGTAAAATAAAAGCGAAAGGAATGCTAGATAGGCTACTAATAAGTGTGCCCTTTTCTGTTTGAGTAATGGTGACTAGCAGAGATCAATCAAGTGGACGTCACTGCCGTAGGCTAAAGATCTTCAGTCTTCAAATAGTCTGCTTTTTAGAAAGTTGGGAAAATGTCTGTATTTTTAAGTTGGCTGTCATGATTGTCAGAGGCAAAACGGGTTTCAGACAAAACGGGTTTTAATTTGCTCTGTGCTCTGTGTTAATGTAAAGTAGAAATATGTAAATCTCTTGATTTAGAGGTGTATGGGGTTTTTTTTTCCAGCATGAGCTGCAGGCAACATCACTGTATCCCTCAACATTCCTCAAAGTTTTTGCAACTGCTCCTAACTCTAGTGTTTCTGGTGTACATTAACATGTGTGCCTACCATGACCGTGTCTGAGTATACTTACAATCAGCTCTGTTAACCTACCAGTTTATTCCCTATCATTGATTGATGCACACAAACCTAGGGTGTGCTGTAGTCTGAGACCGTTGGCAAAGCAAAACAGTAATTTACTGATCTTTCCTGCTTGTCGTCCAGCTAGAACACTGTGTCCTTTTCCTGCTTCACTCCCGACACAACCTGCTTGTTGTTGTCTCAGAATGCAGAGTGCACATAAAATTCTACATACTGAAGAGGGAGAAGTGGGCATTATAATGTTAGTTTCTTATAACAAAGTGTCGGTCACAGATAAGCCGCGAGTGTCCCATCTTGTTTCCTCAACTTTGCTAAAGTTCTGCACCCACGCTGTTTACATCCTCAACATCCACACTCAGACTAGAGAGATTACCAGTAGAAAACAACAAAGCACTTGTGACTGATCATAATAAAGAGAACTTGCTCTGTTGAGTGAGTTTCACAATTAGGTTTACAGCCGTTTGCAAATAGTGGTAGCTGGTTGCTACAGGAACATTTTGCATGTCGTCAGGGATAAATGTTTTATGGGGGTGTGTTCCACACTCACGATAAACAACATGAGCACATCTATGTTATTGCTTAATTATTTAGTGAAGTAACATGAACACGCTGTATTTAAATTTGAATGCACCTTTCGTTCCTTCTTTGCAGTGGGCCACACTTAGGATAGAGAGAGGAGCAAAAGAAAAGAATCACCCCTTGTACAAACCCTACTCAAATGGTAAGATGTGCTCAGTGTGTTTTCCAGCATGTTCAGTATTTATATTTGTTATTGCTGATGTTCTGTCTCTGTGGACTGCTCCAGCTATCATTGCCAAGGAGCCCACCTCTTTGGAGGAGGAGATCAAGGAGATCCGGCGGAGCGGCAGCAACAGAGACCTGGACTCAGCCCCTGAGTTCGAGATGTCTGACATCTTCTATTTTGCTCGGCGAGGAGTGGAGAGCATCATGGATGATGAGGTGACCAAGCGGTTCTCTGCTGAGGAGTTGGAGTCCTGGAACCTGCTGACCCGCAGCAACAACAACTTCCACTACATCAGCCTGAGGCTGACCGTCCTATGGGGGCTGGGCCTGCTGATCCGCTACGGCTTCCTGCTGCCTCTCAGGTACTAGCTTTACCTGTAATAGAAGAATACGCTGTTGAGAACTGAACACCCTGCAGGGTTCGACATTAGCCCGATGGCCACAGGTATTTATCTCTGGGGCCACCAGATATTCCAGGTAGGTAGCCCCCTGTGGCCTGCAAGTTTTATCCCCATACTGCAAGCTCAGGTTGCAGTATAATTACTGAAAGGCTGTGTGTTGTGTTTGCATTATGTTACTGTGCTGTCTTCTACTCTTTACAGCCAAGTTAGTTTGGACTCTGACAGCTAGCTAGTTAGCAGCTAGTTAGACATGATCAGCCATCTAATCCATATGATATCCTACCTGCAGCTTCCAGCTCTGCAGCTCCAAAATGTGTTTGGGAGACCTGCAGTTTTAGTTTAGTTTGACTTCAGCCTGTCTTGTAAAGTTAGTTTGCCAACTACGTAACTAGCGAGCTCGCTTCCAACAGTCAGAGTACAAAAAGACGCTGTAACTTTACATAAACCGGGATGTTTTATGTTTCTCCTGTGGCAGTAAACACAACACACAGCCTCTCAGTAACCATACTACCAACATGAATTTATCGACACACTTTGTGGCTAACTAGCTACCCTTCACGCACCACTTCCCACAACAAACCCACCCAGGTTACCCACGGGACAACCCTTAGGTCTCGACCAGTAACAGGTGCAGTTAGGCTGAGGGTGTGCTAACCAAAGGTGGGAAGGTCAAGTCCATTACTTATACAAAACAAATACAAAAACAACCACAACCACACTGAAAATACTCAACTACAAGTGCATTGTAAACCTTACAAAGGTAAAAGTGGGTCAGTGCACAAATGACCACCAGAATAACATAATAAAATTTGACTTTGACACTGAAACTAGTATAAGGATGGGAACTTATAAGATTTTATTGATACCAGTGCTATTATCGATTCTGCTTATCTGTCCAATTCTTTATTGATTCCTGATTTTTTTGTCTGTGTGGGGGGAAAAGTAGGCGTACACTAAACTTCAGCATCAAACCAAGTGTTTTATTATCTGAGCACAGTGTAGAAATATAGTAGAACAAGGGTAGCTGTCGTAACAGTCTAAAATTGATGAAATAAGAGAATATTTGTACAGCATTCATTTTCATCCAAGTTTTCTTAAGTCAAAAAGTCAAAGTGTTAAGTTGGTTAATACCGTGGTTGGTATATTTACTCAATGTTACAAAATGTTTACACTGGCAAGTAGCTCTCTCATCAAATACAAATCCACCCGGTGAGGTGGTGTCACTCTATTTGAGGGGTCACAGCTGAAGTGGAAAATGTGCCAAATGAGCATGGTGTGTAGTCCAGGATGCCCAGGGGTTCGGAGGATTATGAAATTGTGCTTAATTTCTATTGTTATTAGGGATGTCCAGAGATCAGTATCCGAGCCGATCAAGGCATTTTTAAATACACACAGCTGTTTTTACTTGTGAAGCTTTCATGCACAGTAACATAACAAGCACAGCCGTCTTCAGCTCTCCAACTCTGCCGTCTATTGATCTCTCCTTCACACTCCCGGAGGAGAGGCAAACAGCAGTAGATAGAACCGACACAACCATACTCACCACACCACTACAAGTGCAACCAAAGCCCTGTTAAGAAGGCCAGATTACCCAGAAGAGTATTTTATTGATGTAATGCATGCATAAGGTGTACACACGAGGAAAATAAACACTCAACAGAATACAGTTCATTCGGGTAAAACAGGCAAAGGCTGCACCGAAGCCACCAACACTGGAGAGAGAAACTCTTAAGACAAGCGTTGGATCGGGACTCGGTATTGGCACGTACTCAATATTAAATGACTATGACCAGATCGGGGCAACAACAAAAAGAACTTAATGGGAACATTCCAAATTATATTTGTGTTTAAGAAGGTATTAAAATATCCTTTGTCGAAGTTAATGAACTTTAAGGCATGCTGTGTAATAACATGAGCCTGACACCTAAAGAGACAGCAGACAGCCTTATTAAAGAATTAATAATTAAATGTGGGCACACTGCATGGGGTTTTGAGGCTGCTCCAGAACACAGAAGTAACATTAAATGTTGGCGCGTACAGTGAGTTAGAGAGGGAGATCCTCATTCAGGGTCAGCTTAGAGAGGGACAGGGACAGTGACTCAGTACTAAGCCTGGTTGGCTCATTTCCAACTGCCAGTGGGGAGACAAATCAGGCCACCGCAAGTACACAGACAGACATCATTCTAGCTTCCCATCCAGCTAATAGATTCTCTCATTCAGTACTTGTCCGGTTGAATATTGCCGCGACTCACTCACTTGCATGAAACCTTCACCTCTCTGTTCGTCTAATCCTCCTCCAATTTAATCAGCACCTTCTCCAACCCTGGATGAGTGGTTCATCCAGATTAAGTCGTCTTAAATATTGCCTAATATGCCCTCCTGCAGGTCTGGAGTCTGTTATCACTGACAGTGGGGGGTAGAGGAAACAGGGATATTTTTAATTAATAAGAACCCTGTTCCCCTGGATGGCCTTACTTATGACATTCATGTGTTATCTGAGTGGTTACTCTTCTCAGTGAAAGCTTGTAGTACAGACTTGGTGTGTACCTTGAATTTAAATACCAGTAAAAAATAATTGAATTTGTTAAACCAAACATGGAATCCTTCCTTTCTGTGGTTTCCATAAGTGCTTTGTTGTAAGATTCTCTGTCGGAGGATTATGTGTAAACTGTCTGTCTGCCTCTCCACCAGGGTAACCCTTGCCTTCACTGGTGTAGGCCTCCTTGTGGTCCTCACGTCTGTTGTCGGGCTGCTGCCGAATGGAAGGTAAGACTGATGACAAGCTCGTCTGTTTTCATTTATTGAAGATATCAGCTCCGATACCTGGATGTGCCAACTTGACACTTATATTATAAGTAAATCACTCTGTTGTATTCTCCTTCTTGCAGGATAAAAAACTTTCTGAGTGAGAAAGTCCATTTGATGTGCTACAGAATATGTGTCAGAGCGCTGACTGCCATTATAACCTACCATGACAGGTAAAGGACCTACACTGTTATGCCACACCTCTATAAGTTATGTAACTTTCATTGGGCATGAACCCATTCCAAGCAGTTTTTGACTCTTCATAGGCAGTTAAGTTTTCACACAGCAACAGTAAACTTCCTGGTAAAGTGGTAAGGATAGATAAGATAGATAGATAGATATACTATATTGATCCCAAGCTGGGAAATTGCAGAAAGATAGATAAGGACACTCTGGTCGAGTCAGTCACGGAATATTTAATTCAGTCTACGTCAGATGAACATGACTCGTGGTGATGAAAGAAATAATTGAAGCAAAACAACAATCATTGATGAAAGACCGGTTTCAGTAACCCATACAGTAGTTATTATATACTAGCCTAATTCTGAAAAATATAAATCCTGTATATTTGTAAGGAAAGCCTGTCATTACTGAAAATAGTTTTGTTTTTTGTTTTTTTTACAAACTTTAAAGTTTTAAATAGACCCATTTTTTTTTTTGCTCAGTTCCTAATCTTAAGGCTGCATTACTGTTTCCCCAGTAGGCATTTTGCCTGACAAATTGCAATTGACTTGTTGTTTAGAGTGTAAGCTCCTTATCATCCCCACTAGCTGTTTTCATATTGGTTAGCATGAGAGGTGCTGCTGCTGGTTCATTGCTTTTCTGTTTTTAACACGGCTGTGTTTCCATGCTGTTTCTCAACTTCTTGCTCAGTTTCTCAATTTATTTTGTGCTTTTGTAAACTGAGTCTTGACAACCTATTTCAATTCGGAAATATTGATTGATGTGTTGTGTGCTTTTTTTTTTTATTATTATTATTATTTTTTACTTTACTAAATAATTAATCACATGCAGTAGCATCTCTAGCACATGGTTTAAACCTGTACCTAAAAAGTCAGTTTAGCAGTGTCATATGGATTTATTTATATCACTGAAGTAGGAAGTAACTACATTTGGCAAACAAAAAGATAGTCACAGGTCATGGGTACATATTTTTACACAAGGTAACAGACATTTCAAGAGATAACACGTTTATAGCTTTCCAAATGCCATGACATTAAGCAGAAGATAATAACAATTAAATTTTTTATTTAAAGTTATCATAGGTGTGAATCCAGAGGGATATAATCTAAAAAAACAAATGCTGCTCCTCTTGTTCACATTGGTCCCATTCTTCTTCTTTCTCAAACATGATCTGCTGCAGACCTCTTGCCATGACAGGAGAGGGATCTGTGTGAGATTACGTAATGACAGATGAGTTATCTTTAGAGAACAGAAACAAGGGTGTGTTACCAGTTGAACAGTTGAAATGTGAGAGCAAGTATGGAAGGGAGGGTGCCTGATGCTAGATTGTCTACATTCATATTCATCGCAGCAGGTATATGAACCTATGAGAAGCACAAAACCCGAGTCAATCATGCTTTCTCATACATAAAGCCAAAGCATGCTCAATCAAACTTAAGTAGTCTCTTAAACCGTGATTGGAGCTGCTGAATTCACACAGCTATCTTGCAAGCAAAAGTTTCACTGTCCTGAATTGATCTAAAATTGGGTAATACGATGCAAGTGGATGTTGGTAGTGAGGATGAAGAGGACACTGTATTTAAAATTGGCAGAGTAAGAATCTAAGAGGAACATGAAACTATTGACAGGTTTTATAGAGAGGGTGGCGCATACAACAGGATGTGGAGGAGGAAGTTCATGCTTTGTGTATTTGCTCCTCAGCTGCACTTTATGACAGCTGGTGTAGTTTTCTGTAGTGCAGGATTGGCTGAAATTAAAATGTAACTGTTGAAAAGGCCATCTGACTTTGAGAGTGTGGAAGATTCATATTTTTTAATGTAAATAATTTCTATTTAGGTGAATATTAAGATTTTACTTGTCATGGTAGCTCACCTAGTAGAGTGTGTGCCCCATGTACAAAGGCTGAGTCCTTACCACAGTGGCCCGAGTACAATCCCCCCCCCCAACAAAATCTTAAGATTATGTCAATACTGTGTTAAATTAGAGTTAGGGAAGTAATTTTAGTAATGACGTACTTAAGTGGGATCATTTCTATCTTTTAATTCACTGGGGGGGGGTATTAACTGATACAGATACTCACAGGTGAGACAAAGAGCTGGAACATTACTTGTCTTGCTGAATGTCTGCCATCTAGGCATGGCTTGTTGTAACACATATTCCTCTCTAGTCTGGGGCTAAAAATACACAAGTGACATAGGAAGTGTTGCGCTCCCACTCTATTTAAGATTGCAACTCTATCTTTGGAATGCAGACTCGGTATATTCAGGCCCTGCGTGCACTGGGGGTCGAAGCTTTAACAGATCCACCATAGGGTTGCTTTGTTTCTTCAAATGAGACACTGGCCCAAATGGTATCCAAAATTCTATGAAGACTGGCTTTAACTTCTGGTTGACCTGCTCACTGTCATAGTGTGCATCAATAAGTGTATTTTGACACTCGCTACCACACTCAACATGATTTCATTTCCTGATAATAAATCCTCTGGGAAGTGCCTCAATGATGCATAGATTAACAGTCTTCCTATCTCCATTTTCTCAGTGAGAATAAACCCAAGAATGGGGGGATCTGTGTCGCCAACCACACCTCGCCCATTGATGTCATCATCTTGGCTAGTGATGGCTGCTATGCTATGGTAACTATACCGCTGCCAACCAGGAAGTTACTAAAAACATTGACACCGGTCACTTTGTCCTTGGTAGCTGCTTGACTGTTAAAACTGCTGGTCTCCCAAAAATAGATTTGTTGCTTATTTTTTGTTTGTTATATGTTTGTTTGTGTCAGGTTGGTCAAATTCATGGTGGCCTGATCGGGGTCATTCAGAGATCCATGGTCAAGGCCTGTCCACATGTCTGGTTTGAACGCTCAGAAGTGAAAGACAGACATCTAGTGGCCAAAAGGTAGTATTTCAACCTTTGTTTTTTCCCCTACAATGTTTGTGTAACTTGAAAAAATGTAGCTGTTTTTTGTGGTCTAAAGTCTAAAAATGTTGTTTTTTGTTATAATCTTAATACTTCTTGTTTTGCAGATTGAGTGACCACATAGAAGATAAAACTAAACTACCCATCCTCATTTTCCCAGAAGGTGAGCTTGTTCAGGGATCTGGTGCAGATAGGAAGACTTCATAACCGCACTATAGTTCTCTAGTTTTTTAGTTTTTTTAAGCCCCATAAGCCTACATTTATTTTTACTCTAAATCCCCAGGTACCTGCATCAACAACACATCAGTTATGATGTTTAAGAAGGGAAGTTTTGAGATTGGTGCCACAGTCTACCCTGTGGCCATTAAGGTGAGAGTGTCTTTTTTTTTTTTTTGTAATTCACATTTCAATCATTTTAAAACTTTTTTTTTTAATCAACAGTTTGTTCAAAATAATACAGGTATTGATTAGTCATTCTAGTGTTTGATCTTCACAGTATGATCCCCGATTTGGGGACGCCTTCTGGAATAGCAGCAAGTTTGGAATGGTCAACTACCTGTTACGTATGATGAGCAGCTGGGCCATCGTTTGCAGTGTGTGGTACCTTCCTCCCATGTCTAGAGAGGTGAGTTTTTTCTTTGAATTAAACAATCAATAGTAGAGATAATGGTTTTGTTGAATTCAACAAAGGGTTGGCCGATATGTTAAGATTTTTCAACCTGCCACTGTGTGTGTGCGGCAGCGCCCCCGACCCCCCCTCAGCACTAGTAGTTTCAGATGGGAGGTGAGCAATGAGTTCACTATCTAAGTAAAAAGTTCTAATAGCTTTAATAAACTCCCTAAATGTAAAACAAGTTAAAGAAAAACATTAACTTTTATTTCACCACAGAGCTTCTCTTTTCTGCTCCCCTCTCTGTACATCCATGAAGTCATACCACTTTGGTTGGGTGTAAAGCTTTTATAGCCATAATAGCTAAGCTGTTAATTATTTGTTATGACCACTTGTTTGCCTGCGTTATATTGTGTGTATATCAATTTCCTCCAACAGGAGGGTGAGGATGCTGTACAGTTTGCCAACCGTGTAAAGGCAGCCATAGCCAGGCAAGGTGGACTAGTGGACCTCCTGTGGTAAGCTCAATGGTTTCTACCGCTCTCACATACAAAACCTTATGACTGGCAAGGGATAATAAACCCTCAACACATGGGTGGCCATTCATACTAGACTGCTGTCATGGTTATTTCACAGCAGATTTTTTTGACATAGCATGAGGGAATAGCACAGGTGTAATAAATAACATTAATAACAACTGTAGTCAGTTCCAGGCTCTATAAAAATATAAAATCTATCATGTACACTCACTCACTCCAGTGGCTTATTCGGCCTCTTAATACAACAGAGCCATCGGTAATGTTATTGGTTCCACTGGTGCTTTTCCTGTCATGGCATGTTAAAATCCCTGTTATGAAAAAGGTCAATCCCTTACTGTTCCTGTTATTATAGACTCCCATACACACAGCTGCTAAATGCAAGAAATAGACCAGATTTGTTTACTATACAGAGTTTGAGCACAGTGGTGCAACTTAATGTCATTACCTTTCTTTACCAGATTATATGGTACTACAGGCACAGCTAATATCTGCTATCACAAATAATAATTTAAACTTTATTATACTTTAATTCAGTCCAATATTCTAATATGGACCCATCACTGACATGTGGTCAATAAAAAAAGCTTACAATGTCATAGATATCATATTTAGTGTGCTGCTTTCATGGCCCTGCTGTTTTGCATGTTGGCTTACTGGCACCTAAATCAATCAGCCCCATCATTAACATTATCAGTTACACCTGTACTTTTGCAGTAAGAAGTCAGAAATGATGCAAAGAGGCCTGTGCTGTTTGGTGTAACCCCACCAACTGCAGTTTGAGATTAATTTAATGTGGCCTACAATTTTGTAAATGTAAAGAAATAAACACTTTAGTTAGTGTAAAGTAAAATATTTTCAAAAAAAAGTGTTCTGGGGTTTCTATTTTTCTGGTCAGCTCAGTGTAACTACTGCATATCAAGTCTGTTGTAGTGTAAACGGCACATTTGTGATGCAGTGTATTTATTCTGCATTTCACTGCTTTGGGTGAAACCTAATCAGCAATAGAACATGGTTGAACAGCATAATCGTCCACTCCATCAGTACTTAATTTTTAACTCCTTTGTAGGGACGGAGGGCTGAAACGAGGAAAGGTAAAAGATACCTTTAAAGAAGAGCAGCAGAAACTGTACAGTAAAATGCTGGTGGGCACCCAAGAGGACCGGAGTCGCTCCTGAAGGACCTGTGTAGACGTGGACTGGCTCAGAGACCCACTAGGGCGCCTCTGACTAAATAAGCAGTCAGCAGGGCTCTCTTCCTCCCTACTGGAGCTCCTGGACTGGAAAATTCCCTCTCTGATGTCAACAGTACTCCATTTGGCTTCCTTGGTCACTGCCTCAGCTTGGCATGTTCAGTTTGCATCGCTGTAACGGGTCATTCTGAGTCTGCTGCCCTTTTGTTGGAAAAGCTCGACTGAAGCCTTGCTTGCATTATAATGAAAGTAAGGTGCACACAGTACAGGAGCATTGTCTTCCTTGGTGGCAGTCTTTTGAGGGAAAACTTGTATTATTATCTATCATTGAGTTCCTGTCTTTGTTGGATAGTTTTAACTTTTTAATTTTCATTTAACTGTCATGTTTGTATCACGCTGTGGGAAAGTTACAAACCTGGGATGTAGAGTTACTGTAGATTTAAAAAAAAAAGAAAACTAGTTTGTTTTAAAGCTGAAACCTGAGTTTGGGTTTTGCATGACTGGCTCTTGTGCCCGTGATTTATGGCACAGTGCCAGATTTTGTTACATTTCAGATATTTTTATGGGCTTTTTCCAAGAGAAAAAAATTCTTGTATTTTAAGCTTTGTGTTTTACATTAAGACTTGTATCAACACATGTGGTCACTATAGGAATTACATTGCAGATGAGCTCTCGTTATGTTGTCCGTTTCTGTGTTTTTCCACGGAATGTGTAAATCCTCACATTATGAAGTGGAAATTGTGCACCCAGTTAGTCTGATGGAGGTTTATGGATTGAGGCATATACTAATGTTCCAGCTAATAATGCAGCATAACTGGAGTAAAAGGGTTTTATAGTCCATTCATTAAGAATTTATTTGGGATGCTTTTAGCATTAAGGCCCTATGGCACAGGTAGTGATGTAAGATAACGACCATCACAACTGGTCACCTGACTAAAACATAGTTATAATGACAATTAGCTGATACATGTTCATACTAATACACCTCCTAACAGGCATCATGTTTTCATTGCCTTCCTCCTTGAGCGGTGACCATCTTGCCTAATTTATTTTAAGTAAACTCTCAAATTTATTGTCTTTATCCCCCCCCCCCACTTCATCAACGAACTTTCTCCTACTTGGCAGCCTCTTCAGGGAGGTTTAAAGGAGAGACAGAGTGCAGCTGTAGTTTGGACTCTCCGTTAGGCTGGAGTTGAGGAACATGGTGTGCAGCTTTCAGGGGGTTTCTCCCTGAGGCTCTCATCCATCTAATTTGCTGTTATCAGGGATAGTCGTTTAGACTGTCAAATCTGTTCATCAAAATAAATGTTCAAGAATGTGACTACATCTGACTTCAAGCCTTTTTTCTGTGCTTCTTAACTGTCGATTTTTCTGGGGTTTAAACTTGTTCTCAAAGAAACTGATGAAACTATAAGCCCCATAAAATGGCTTAAGGTGAATGCTGAGATTTAACATTTTAGAGTAACTTTTGAGTATTTGAAGGACATTTCTGTCTTCAATACACACACACACACACACACACACATACACATACATATATATATATATGTATGTGTATTTCTATGCATATGCAGTTTACTGTTGCCTTTAAAGGTCCAGTGTGTAACTTTTAGGAGGATCTATTGGCAGTGTACAATCACCTGAATATAGGAATTTTTCGTTACCTTAGAATGAGCCTTTTGTATCCGCAGACATCACAGGTCGCCTTCCATGGAGGCCGCCATGCTTTTACAGTAGCCCAGAAGAGACAAACCAAACACTGGCTCTAGACAGGGCCGTTCGCATTTTCTGTTGCTGCTGCAGTTTCTCCTTCACACTCGGAAGGGGAGGGTGAAGTGAGGGTGTTACCATCTGCAACCACACCGCTAGATGCCACTAAAATCCTACACACTCTTGGCAAAAGTTAGGTTTTTTTTTAAGACTGCAAAAGACCTACAACCAGGCAACTGACCTCAAATGATAAAGGTGGTCTAAATAGATACAAATTGCGTCCCAATGTTAAATATTTGGCATGCACTGTAAATCCAGCTAATATTAAATCTTATTCAGAGTGTTTGCCACTTCCATTTCAGCCCAAGTATCTCATTTAAGAGTTCTTTTTTTCTTTTACTGGCAAATACTTCTCAAAATAAAAGCATTTCTTTATTTGCTATTTCTAGAATTGAAAGTTTTCCCTCCAAACAGTACTGCCTTAATTAAGGCTGTTGCTTTTCTGTGCTATTCTTGGCAGGCAAGCCAGGACTCTGGTAACATTTCCTGATTTATTGTCCAGTGGGCACCAGGCTGCTATAAGACAGTCTGGCATGGGGATTTAGCGCTTTATTTTGAACATCATATATTTAGTATTTATTCCCTAGCCGACTATGTACTGTGGATCAAGTCTAAATGTCTTTCCGTGGATGTTTTATTGTTGATTTCTTTGCAGCGGCTTCATCCAAAACCCAAGCCTTTCCTCCTGGCTGCAACAAACAGCCTCAGTCCCCATTCAGAGAGGTTTCCCCTTTAACCGTCTTTGTTTCCAAACCGGTGATGGACAAGGCAGCATTCTTTTGCATCTCTGGTTGCAACAGTTTTAAATGGATCTGTTGACGTTAGTGAATAAAGAACACAGTGCTCGGAGGAGGAGTAAGAGGAAGCAGGGACCTCAAAAGGTTGGCTGTGTAAACCATGCCATGGTTGAACAGCTCACTAACAGCACTATGGAGAGCCAGAGTCAGGCCCCCCAGCAGTCTTTGCTTTACCCTGGTGCTGGAGCTCAGACTGCTGGATGGCACAGATCCATCTTGTACTCCAAATAAGAGTTTAACAGCCCTATGGTTCACTGGGTAAAGAGACGGCTGCTGTAGCTGTGTTGTAAAATATTGTGGTTAGACTGCTCTTGTGATGACTGGAAGTTGTGAGAGGCGGGCTGTTCTAGAGAAAATGACTAAACTGTGGTTCACACACAAAAGAAAACATGTATAATACTGTACTGTACCTGCTTCTGCTGGTGCAGGACTTTATAGAAGAGTAGTGTCTGTGCAGCTGTTGCAATGCAGGTAAAAAGTGCCAGTGATAAACTGATGGGCACACACACGCCCAAGGAAAAGGTCACAGATAAAGATAAGACCCCTCGGGTTTGCCGGTTGTAAAACAGTTCAACTACAGTGAAAGCAAACTCCTCGGTGAGAGAAGATTTCATTGAAAGAAAAGTTTCACAGAGAGAAAATGACTAACTTCCTGTTGAGACTACAACAGAGTGAGCCTATAGTATGTTGAGGGCGAGTCCAGTCCTTTCAGGTATTTTTTTTATGTCTTTGAGTAGCTGTAGTTGTACATTAAGGTACTTTATGTAATCTTACAGGTTATTATTGTAATAGTAAAGTATTTAATAACACTATAGGGGTTGTTTTTTGGGGGGGGTAAAAAAATAAACAAAAATGGTTAAACTAAACAGATTGTTTGCCACACAGGCCATGCCCTACACACAGGTTGCCATGCCACTCAAATATTATGGGATTATCTTCAGAGGAGGTTACACCGAGGAGCGATGGCCACGACGCTGACTCTCATAAACTTCACATAAGGAAGACTGTAATTGACTGCTCGCCACAGAACGAGGCGGAGGCGGAGTTTACCCAAACACCGTCGGTATAACTGCTCGGTCCGGTCTGTCGAGCCCTGCAGCAGATGCGACGTCCAGGCCGGTTTAAGCCCGCTAAGACGCCACTAGTCCAATTAACCCAGAGGAGGCGGAGATCCACGCACGCAGGGGCCATTAAACTTAAACCTGCGGCTCCTCGAGCTCGACGATGGATATGCGCGCGGTTCCGGCTCCTATGATGACGACCTGACATCGAGCCATCAATAAACAAGCAGAAGAGACTCGGTATCATTAGTTGGGGAGGAGGAGGAGTAGGAGGAGGATGAGGAGGGGGGGAAGAAGAGATGCTGGTGTGTTTTGAGCGGTGGTAAATGAGTGAGATTTATAGATAAAGCCTCGATAAGCTCCTGGAAGGGTCGCGTGTTTACAGGCCCGGCTGAGCGCGCGTCATTTTGACGACGGCGGCGGAGTTTCCTCGAGCTGTGTGTGTGTGTGTGTCTGTGTGTGTGTCTGTATGTGTGTGAGTGTGTTGTGTTTGTTTTTTTTTTTGTTTGGTTGAAAGGTGGATCGTTAACATGGAAACATACACTGATGTGCTGCTGGTCACCGCAAACGTCGGCTCACTGTTTGACAATGTAAGTATATAGACATGTTGTTAAAAGAGAAATTTAAAACTACACCAGACTCAAATGCCGCCAGAGGATTATACTTAATGCTGTTAATGGCTCGTGGGGAAATAATTAGTCGGGAGGGGAAACAGGAGGTGTTTTTTTTTCTACCTTGAATGAGCTCCGTTGTTGGCCTTCATGTTTGAGCTGTGACTCTTAATTGTTATCCACGTGCGTAATGTGTCCAATAACACTATGGAGTTACTCAGGTGTGTGTGTGTGTGTGTGTGTGTTGTGTGTGTTTGTGTGTGTGTGTGTTGTTGTAGTATCAATAGTGTTCATCCGCTGTCGTTTTATTTTCAAAAAGGGGGGGAGAAAAAAAAGCTCACGAGCTAAAGTTGAGTTATTATTACCTGTTAGGACGCGCAGGTTTCACGCCACTCACGTGACCTGGAGTAGAAGCCACAGGTGTAACGACCAAACCTGCGACCCAACAGAACCAGTGACACTGAAGGGTCAGCTAAGGGTACATACTAAAAAGTGTTGTCTCTACAGGTTGACTGAATATAGGACCTCTCTGTGACCCAGAGAAAACTAAACTTATGTAATGTGTTTTTTTTTAATTATTTTATTAATTTTTGCATAAACATACATTATTTAAAACAAAGCTGGGTCACAGTTCATAAGTAATTCATTGAAGGTCCCATATTGTACACATTTCCTGTTTTGATATCCATTAGAAAGTGTATTTGTGGGTTTTAAAGGTCAAGTGTGTAACATTTAGGAGGATCTGTTGGCAGAAATGGAATATAATATGCATAACTATACTAGTGTATAATCACCTGAGTATAGGAATTGTCATGTATTTGTTACATTTTTAGAATACGCATATTATATCTACAGACGCCATGGGTCGCCTTTCATTGAGTCCACCATGTTGAATTGCCATGTTTCTACAGATGGGAACCTTTTTGTAGCAGCTGTAGTTTCATCTTTGCGCTAGGAAGGGGAAGGTGGAGTGAGGGAATTTCTAAACGTTTTACATCTACTCTCTCCCTCTTCTCCTCGGAATTTGATCCATTTGGTTGGATAACATTTGGAAAGTCTTGAAGAGCTGTGATTAAATTATTTTATTCCCATTTAAGTTATATAGTAATTATATTTTCATGCGTCACTGAGAAACTTCTATAGAAATGAACAGAGCGCCGCCTCCAAAGCTGAAACCAGTTCTTGTTTAATATGTCTGTGGTTTAAAGGCACGGTTTCTGAATGCAGGCTGTGTGCATTTCTTCATGGATTTGGCGTTTTGACGCGTTTACAGTATTTATAGAACACCTAGACTTGCTTTATAATAAAAAAAAAAACATTCTACAATATAGGACCTTTTTTAAACCTCGTAAATAAAAGTATGTAACTGTAGTAAAATATCTATGGTATGAATCTTATTGGTAGTTTTATTTATGATTTTACAAATTTACATTAATGAATACTTCTGTAACATATATTTTGTATTAACTCTAATGTTGGTGTTGCCTCTGCTTATCTTGTCCCAGGACATTTGGGGTAAAAATAGCTTTAAACCCACACAGAATCTCACCCGTCATTGTGGTGTAACAGCGTACCTCACACGTCGACTACGAGACATTTTGACTGCGTTCCCCTTAGCAGACTAATCATTAGTTTGTCCCTATTTGACCCGTCCCATGTCATTCAGTAACTGTGTATGTCCTCTAAGACAGAATTAAGCCTCACCTCCCCATTATTTATGTAACTCACTCCTATGTATGTATGGACCCTCTCCCAAGTGTCCCCCCCCGGCAGAGTCATTGTCACGTGGAATGACTGTACAATGCACAATCAATCACTGTTACTACAGGGAGGGTCTGTGTTACTCAATAGTCTGTTTATAGTATCCTTATCATTCTGTACGGCATTTACGTCATCAGTTCAAGTGGTATCACTATATTCCTGTAATGTTATGTAAGTTATAGTTTATGGCACACTCGTGGGTGTTTGTATCTGTTTTATAAAGTCAACAGTAAGACCGCTTTTATAAAGGGGATTAAAGAGATTAGACTGGAATTGAAGTATTCAGAACACTTGTCTAAATATGCAGTGGTTTTTAGTTTTGGCCTGTGCTGGGCTGACTAAACTTTCAGACACTGTGTGGAGGAGGTCTCTTACACTCATGGAAATTTGGCTCAGGACCATGTTTCCGGTTTCCAGATCTGGCTCCAATGAAAACATGTTAGATCCCATTGTGGGAGATATGTAAGCAGATGAATATCTACCCCAGAGGACTTGAGCTTTTCTACTTACTTAACCCCCCGCCCGCCCCCCTTATTTCTATAAACAAACACTCCTAAACGTTCACCCAGCCTTCGGGATAAGAGCAAGACCTTAAGCACATCACAGGATAAATCCTATTGCTTTCCAGTATACTGGACTCGTGGAGTGTCCTGTCAGAGCAGTTTAGCCAGTGACTGCTACTCTGTCCCACCAGTATATTAGCAGGCCGTGGCGGAGTCCTGGAGATTATGTCCATTGTTTCTTGTGAGCTCGTGTAATGACTATGTATAGGCTTAGTTGTTTTGGCTAGATACTATCGTTGCACCTACTTTCCCTTAATCCATACCCATGTGTAATACAAATGTAAAAAGCTTTACTTGTTAGAACATTTTATTGCTAAAGACACATTTCAGGCCATTTCCCCAAAGTATTATCAGACAGCTTGGAACAACAAAGCATTAGCTTTAATGGATCCAGCATGGTGATTAAGTTAACAGTTTCTTTGGAACAGGGATCCTGTGGAAACTCACTTAGGACCTTTCTTGTTCAACATGCCTGCTCTTGTCGCCTGGCACAGCGCTACTAGTTTGTCGCAAAGTGGAAAAAATACAGTTCTGTAGGTGTTTTGGGTTTTCTTCCACTCATTTTTGATGTACTGTGCAGACAGAATTGCTTCTTAAATACAACAGCTACATGGACTTTGTCTCTTAAACATACATATATGTAAATAAATCTGGGTTTGTGGACAGAGCTAAAGTTCATGAGCCCATACAGACTGTGTCAGGAGCCAGAATGACGTGAGAAGAGTCCTTCAGGTCACAATGGCTGAGCTGCAGTCATCCCTGTTGCATGCTGCCATGCAAATACACTATGCAAAGCCATTTTTAAGCTGGAATGAAAGCACCTGGCCTCGCAGATGATTGTACACTACTCAGAAACTACACTGTGGGGCTAGTTCTGAAATGGGTGTGTAGGAAACTGCATGTTCAAATGCCACGGTTAATTTTAAGGGACCGTTGGTGATTGATGCACTGCTATCGGCCTTTATAAAGCCAGCCAGTTCCAGAGACTGATAGCATTCACAGCTGTATTAATCAGCGACACAGTAAGCTTTTACTGTGAGGGAAACATTTGTCACTCCCACTTTCACTTTCACAATTCAATAGATTAAGTTATTTATCAGTTTACAGCTATACAGGGCAACATGAGAGAAGCGGTAACTGATGAACAGAATTTAAACAGCCAGAAAATGTCTTTACTATAAAACAGATTAGTATTTGGCCAGAAAAGAGCCTGTCCTACAGTCTATTTACACTGTCTTATGAGGAAGGGTCTGCTTAGTAAGCCTCAACCTTGTTTGACAGATTGCTGTGTGTAATGGCTTATCTGCCTGCTCCCCCCCGTCCATGCTTTATGCTCAGCTGTCAAGTAGCTCTGCAGTGTTAAACTCACCTTCAGGAATTATCTATGGACAGTGGCCAGATTATGACAGGTGCAACTACGCTTGAATGAGCCTGCATCCTGGAACACACTACCAATGGTATCATATTTCCAAACACTTTTTTCCTCCTTTTATTTTTTATTTTTTATCCTGCTCAGAGTTAATATTAGCTCAGAGTATTTCCTCTCTGTGATTGATGACTCCCTGACTTCCATAACCTGTTTGTCTGTTAGGTGGCAATGTTATTTTAAAGCCAAAAGGTATAATTATTTAAATGACTAAATAATTATTTGTGTATATCCTGTTTGTAGGGTAGCATGCTACAAAACATTGGCTCATTTTGAGCAGTTGGAGTGAGACTATAATTATAGCTTCTCTAAGCAATGTTTTTATATTAACAATGGATTAACTCAGGGGTCTCAAACTCAAGTTGGCTTGGGGCCACTGATGGTGTTGTCATCTCATAGGAGGGTCACTTCACCATTCAAGTACGACAATAACAAGTGCAGTATTCTGAAAATATTTCCATTAACCAAAATCATACTTAACAACACAATGCAAACACCAGTTTCTATAGATTTTTATATCATATTTGTTGTAGTTTTTAAAAAATCAGTTGTACACAATTGAATTGGTATGAAAGGACTAGAAAAAAATACTCTTGTTGGCTGGATTGTATAAGGCCGAAGGGAGGGGGTTAGAGGGCCGGAAATGGCCTCCAGGCCAGCAGTTTGAGATCCCTGGATTAAACGAATATGTGTGAAAGGAGTGGCTCATAGTGACAAAGACACAGATGATTATCACTTGCCTCAGCAGCACCCCCAGTTTACTAGTATGACTGACTCTCACTGCAGCATGCAGCTGTTTTCAGCCATTACACTCTGTTACATTTAACTAAATGCATCAGTAAATAAACTTTCCTTGATTAAGACAAGGAACATACACTTGAAGATGAAGATAATGTTATGAGAATAAAAGCATTTTGTCTGTGTAGTGAAAGTAGTTCAAAGTAGCGTATAATAAATAAATAAATGAATGCAGGGTTAGTATTTGATTTTAGACCATTTCTCCCAGAAAGATTGCATGTCTTTGATTTTTCTCTTTGTCTTTTTACAGTTGGGTGAAATTCAAAATGAGTGGTTACAAGAATTGTATAAGGTAAGTTTGTTTTAAATATTATTTCCACTAATTACTGGCAGTGTCACATATTTTCCTCTTATGCTTTGTGGTCAGTCTGGTGCAGTTAAATAAAAAGCAAATAAGCAAATAGAAACTGTGTTACATAGTTGGCCCTGTGTCATAGGCTGCTGGCATCATTACAGCGGTGACAGTTCCGGGATTCTCTGGAAAACGGATAATGTGCTGATAACTGATAACAATGACACCAGGCCTAGCACAGAAATTCAATAACAGAGAAACTCCACATGACCCCTAATGGATAGTTGACTTCATCCTGTAACACAGTGTTGACCCTCTTCACTCCTCATTACTGTGTAATGTAAAACCTGTAGACTAAGGCCTGTGTGTGTGTTGCTTTGTTACAGACTATCCACTGCTACAAGCCGCAGTTCATCGCCCTGCACTTCCAGGAGGTGGGAGGGAAGGACTACATGGTCAACATGGGCCATGCTGAAAACTTCTTTTGGTAGGACAAATGTGCTGCTCGTAGTCTTATGTTGCTCATTAAAGTATTCTTCCTTCACCATGTGTTTAATATTGTCACAAACTTTCAGTGTGTGTGTGTGTGTGTGTGTGTGTGTGTGTGTGTGTTAATTTGACCAATTATTTTCTCTATTATCAGCTAATCCAGTGGTTTTCAAAGTGGGTGGTCCTTGAGAAGATCCTAGTGTGGTCCCGAGCAAAAAGGGGACTCACTTATTTTCACTGTAATTCCATCAATAATTAACACAATGACAGAATGTATCACTATTTTGCTCATGGATTGTATACACTTTCTGTAATACAACATCTAAAAGAAAAAACCCTATGAGATTGGGGGCACCCTGGGACAAGATAAATTTGGGGGGGGTCTGTGGTCTAATTTTAATCAAGGGTCCCTGATCTGAAAAAGTTTGAGAACCACTGAGTCAAGCATTTATACAATGTCAAAAAACGATAAACATTCCCTCACAGTTTCCCCAAAGCCCAAGTTGACATATTTAGACCAAACAGTCCCAAACCTAAACATATTCAGATTACAATCACTGAAGATTAAGAAAACCAACAAACATTCACATTTCAGATGCTGGAACCAGTCAAGTTTTGGCATTTGTGCTTTAAAAAAAAAAAGACTTGGCTGTCACAACTCTTGCCAATTAATTGTCTGTCCAACGACTAATCAGTTAATCGACTTATCCCTCCAGCTCTACGTCAAAGGGAAGGGAAGCTTTTTTCACTCTGTTGCCTAATGCTGCTGTGCTCTGTTGTCTCCAGGAGCATTGAGTCCAGTGAGGAAATGAAAGACTATGACAGGGTCTGCATCTATGTGGACAACCAGTTCCAAGCAGAAGACAGCTTCACGGTAAGAAACACACAAACTTCTCTGTCAGATCAGTTCACATGTTCTTCCACTAGATGGGGTCCTGCTCCGTATTAGTGTTCAGAGGTAGGCGTTGAGTGAGCTGGACAACACTTATGGGAAAGCCAGAGTTTGTAGACCCTGGTGGAGCATTAGAAAATGGCATTTATTTTGTTTTTTACTATGCATTGTAATGCACATTTTAGATTGACTGCATCTTTAAGCCAGGTCAGAAGTCCTTTGTACTGCACATATGCATCAGTCATTGCACTGCTGGCTTTGTTCGCACTTGTTTATTTCATCAATTTAAAGGTACGGTTTCACGGTGGACAGATTAGAGCTCCCTCATACAACAACTGACAGCATGTGATGAATGAGAGGTTGATCAAGATGGATTCAGTTTGTACATGCCCATAATCTATTAGTTTTTGTATATTATTAGAGTTTACAGGGTTCCCACATGTCCTGGAAAAACCTGGAAATTTAGAGTTTAGTTTTCCAGTCATGGAAAACACCTGAAAAGCGATTAAATGACCAAATATCCTGGAAGTTATCTATGTTGTCCTGGAAATTTTGTGTTGTGCTTTTGCCAAATTAATGTTACTGTGGAAAACTAGTCCGTCCAGAAAGCGAACATCCAACACACCGCAAAAAAAACCCTTCCTGGAAAGTCCTGGAAGACAATTTCTTAATAAGAGTGGGGTTAGTTTATTTCATTTTAGTGATATTTTTTGCAAAATAAGAAAATACAGTGTGATGGAAACATGAAAAATGTCATATAAAATCAGTGAGATTAGAATTAAAACTGCAGGAGGTAACTTTTATAAAAATGTCCGAGGAAGATAGTTTTGGATAGTTGAGTCTCATTCCCATGTCCCTAAGCAACAGATATTTAACGACCTGGGAATGTGACCCAACAATCACTTGTTTTTCTTGGCACTGATTGGTTGTTTTCATTCAGCTGCGGTTGATTCTTGCCAACAATTGGGAGCACAAGGGGGAGCCAGAGGAACCTAATTTTTCCACAGATTATCTGTCTCCTGTTGTACTGTCAACATATAATGAAAGTTTCAGAAAATATGACAAAAAATGTTATTAAAGATACCTACTGCAGCTTTAAAAGTCTTACATCTTACTATAAAGCAAATCTGACAACCAACAAGTTTATTTGCTATCAGGGGATGTTTCAATCAAAGAGATTGTTGAGACCAGGAAACAAGAAATTGGAGAAGAACTGGTGAGATTTTACACCATCAGAACTGTGATAGGTGTGCACATTTTTGCTCCTTGTAATCTGGGATGTGTGTGTGTGTGTGTGTGTGTTTGTGCTGTTGGGTTGGGTTCCATATATCATGGCACAATCTCAGACATACAAAAACCAAAGGCTTTTTCAAGTAACATAGATCACAAAGATCTAGTAAGAAACAATGTTGTAGTAGTGCTACACACTATGGGCACAGACAGAGGAGATGTTCTTAAAGACAGGTTTGTTCACTCACTCATGCCACTACCTACATCTCTTATCGTCATCTATCGCCGAACCCAGAGTCTGTCTCTGTAGCTGAAGGCTGAGCTGGCACTGGCGGGACGCTGCTCGGGTCATGGGCTCAGCCTCAATCTCCACACCTGTCGTCGTGAAAGCCATTTCTTGCTTCCAACTTGTTTTTTTTTTTAGTGACCCTCACACAGCAGCAGAGTCTTTTCCAGTGGGGCTGAACTGTGTTTGTAGCTGCTCATAATGAGTTTGTCAGCATTAGTTTGTCTGAAATTCTGCCCTGGTTGAGAGTAACACCTCCCCAGTTGAGAGAAGTGGCTGAGTATTTCTTAAACTATTAACCCTTACTCCTCCCATGTGATACCCTCACACTGGACGTCTGACAGTAGGGGTCAATGGCTGCATCTGTAGACTGAAGGTGTGCGAAGTAAAAAAGGGGAAAGTCAATGGCCAGGTGTGGGGGAGACAGGCCAAAGTCAATACATTTAACTCTAGATTAAAACTATTGATCCCAGCCCATTTGTGCACGATAAATAAAACGTGAGGTGTCGGGGGGGGGGAGACAGCTGGGACTAAGTTTCCCCTGCGCTCAAGTGTTCGCACCCTCCACTGTTTGCCCTGAGAGAGTTGCAGCCCCCCCTCATCCCACCCCTCCCCTCCTAATGCCTCATTCTCATTTCGTCGGTGCCACCTGCATTGATTTTCAATTTGTTTCCCCTTGGCTGCGGATCATCAGTTATATGGCCAAGAGAGAGTTTGGGGGGTTCTCCTTTCAGAGGGGCTGCAGGAGTAGAGGGGGCAGACTTGCATGCATTCCCAGTACAAATGGTGTTTTGATAAAAAATCACTTGTAAGTCAATATTTTTTTATTAAACTGTGCACAAACCTGATTGATGAAGATAGGTGTTTGGCAGAGTATGTGGAGGTGTGTGTGTGTGTGTGTGTGTGTGTGTGTGTATATATGTGTGTGTGTGTGTGTGTGTCCCTGTGTACTGTTTAAACATAACATTGTACTGATCCAACATAAACTAGGCTAAATTTAGATCAGTTTTCCTGAGCTAATTATACAGTCCTTGAATCCCCTCCAAGAGTCATCCTTTTGCTCTAATTGTTAACTAAAATTACAATATAACTTTTTTGAACTGGCTCCTCAGGAACCTTCTTTACTCAGCTTGTAGTTTTTGCATTCAGCTAACAATCGGTTCAAACAGCACCTTGGCTCTAACTGCAGTTTGGACAAGTTGGTCTCTAATTGCCGCTCACTGGAGCCGACCACGGAGACACTTCCATTTTATTAAATGAGGATGACTTTGGCACTGAAGATAAATGATCTCTTCAGGGAGAGATCTCTCATGCTCCGGCTGGATGTTTGTGTATGTCGGGGAGGTTGGGGGGGGGAGTTGCACAGCGGTCCGTCACGCCCGAGCCCTCTGAGCGCTGGCTGATTTTTCTTCGGCCCCCAGTCACAGCGGCAGCGTTGGCAGACAGCAGGCCTACTGCTTAATACCTTTTAAATTGTTTTAATTTTCTGTCTTTATTGATCTCACAGGGCATGATTAATCAGATCAGTGGAGCAGGCAGTTAGTACATTAAAAATTGTCAGGCCCATGTCAGGGATGATTGGGTGCTGAAGTGTGTGTGTGTGAGAGGCAGTATGTGGATGTGTTGCGCAGTTATGTGTTCACTTTGAACGTCTCTATTCTTTAAAGTTTCATGTGTCTTTGGGAGAGTAACAATATACTGGATCGTTCAATATGAAGCCCGCAATTCAGCTCACATGATGGGGAAATGAACAATTCAATTTATCATCTCGGAGGTTGAGATGATTTCTCCTGTTTTTGTCACCATGTCTAGATGTTTAGGTGCTGTGAAATCACTCTAAATGGGTCAGACAGAGCTCATAAAAAATTCCATAAACAATGTTAAATATCATAGTTTTATTTAGTTCAATGTTGCGTTAGAACTGAAAGATGTAAGGTACATTTCTGTAGTTTTTGACGACACTTCGAATTGAACTCTACAGTGTCAATGTCAATATTTAGGTTAAGGTGATTTCCTCGTGTTTTTTTGCATCAAGTGTCTGAAACTAAAGGTGCCTGTAACGACATTAAAAGTGTAGTTTCAGTATTAATTTCTTAGATTCTTTTCACACCCGCACACTCCTGCCCTTCTGTGATGTTTCCGTTTTAAAACCGATTTTACATATTAAAACTTTGTTTTTGTGCTCTTGCCAGGTACATTTATTAGATATTGTAAAATCTTTATTTATTTCTCTCCACAGGCTTTGGGGAGCATGTACTTCATCCACAAGACTCTGAAAAACATCTATCAGTATGATTTTAATGGTAAAAACTTTAATCCTTTTGCATGACATTTGCATTGATTTTTATCATTTTATTGTTTGTCAGCTGGTGATGGATTCAAATAGCTTTTTTTCCCTTGAAGAAATTAGATGATTTTAGATCTCAACATAAACCACTCCCCTTGCATCCTGTACTGTTTTGGCAATGGCTCATAAGAGCAATGTTGCACGTGATTGGCCAGATTCTTGTCATTTTTTAATATCCGGACGTTTCACTGTGTATAACGACAGTTTGATGGCCACCCCTCCTGGCCAGATATTTGCAAAGAACCTGAATTTAAAGTGGAGCTGTTATTTTCCTGCTGCATAGTCCAGTCACGTTAGGCGTGAAAAAGCTCCTCAGAAAAGCTTATGGAAGAACCATAAACATCCTGCAGCTGCCACTCGCTGTGTGGCCCAAACCGATTGTTGTTCACCAAACGCAGTCTAATGGCTCGCTTATAGATCCCCTCATCACGTATGCCGCTCTGATGAGGTTAACACCAGTTTATTGATTGCTGTTTGCATGTTTTCCCACTATTTTACATGTCACCCCTCTCCCCCTCTCTCCCTCTCTCACTCTCACAGTTAAAGATTTCAAAGCAGTGTCGGGACAGAACAAGAACGTGGGCTCTCTGGATGGGGTCACCACAGTGGAGAAAGAAAAATTCCCAAAGAATTTCTGGCCTGATGTGAGTATGTATGCATGAGTGTGCATCTATGTATGCTTACATTTATTTGTGTCTGTGTGTCTGTGTGTCTGTGTGTGTGTGTGTGTGTGTGTGTGTGTGTGTGTGCAGGTGTGGGGAGGGGTACACAAGGGCCAAAGGGAGGTGTTGGGACAAATGAGTCTACTGGGGCTGAAGGGGCTGTCTGCCCACTCTGACAGGGAGATGAGACAAATTATGTGAAAGAATCAATGATTATCAGTTTGGCCCTTCAAAGACATGGCTCACTGCTTTTTAGTGACTCACTCTAATTTGTCTCTGTTGCAGTTCAAGTGGTCCAGAAAGGGCTTCATGAGGACCCGCTGGATCATACACAACCAGTACGTACTGTGCACTAAACTAACCTTGATTTATAAAAAAAACAAAGTCAGAGTTGGACTCACTTTCACTGTGTCTTCTGTCTGTTATGTACCCTTGATACATGAATACAAAGAAGGTCTGGTGTGATAGAATATTTGTGAAAGATCTCCGGAAACAAGAAAGAAAGGAAATCATTTATCTGTCATCAAACTGAGAGCAGTCTGTTTTTATTATAATTATAATTATTATAAAAATATTATATTATAATTTATTATAATTCTCACACCACCTCAGGAGGAGGACTGGTAAATGTTCCAATACTAGTGCTGATACAATACTTGACTTTTGATGCTAATAAAAATGATACTTTCGTTCACACACTACTTTGAGACATATGAATTAGTTTTTCTATAAAACCTTTTTTTTTTTTTTTTGGTTTATTTAAGGTGCCATTTTATTTATATTTTTGTATTAACAGTGGATCAATGCTTGTATGTGACACAGGGATCACTCTTAGTGACGGAGCCACAGATAATTATCACCAGATTGTGCAGTTCAACTCAGCTCCACACAGCGTTTAAGCGTCTTTTAGCTTGTTGTTTTGGTTCCATTACCTGCAATTGTACTGTTTTGGTTCAGTTTAAGTGCTCTTATCAGTCATTTTCAACTACAAAACTCTAAAAACCCACAGTACACTACCTGCTTAGCTAATGAGCTAAGTGGAGCATTTAACAACCAAAGAGGCCAGTTTGTGGAGACCAAAATGGAGCTAAAAGGGGAGTGAATATTTACTTAAATTCCTTAGGTCACCAGAAACACAACTCCAGTTGAAAGCTAATGTTGCTTTATATCTGCTGGATGCGTAAATAAGCGTCAGTTAGCTAACACTATATCAACTTAACTTGGTGATAATATGCCATGTTATGTGTGCAGCTTTTTACCACAGCTCACAGGGAGGACAAAATCAGTTAATGCAGGTTTAACAAAAAAGATAAGCATCAACCAGAACTTTGCAAAATGTTGATGTAATTAGTAAGTATCTGAGCACACATTTGATGCCCACTTTTGATACTTGACAGTTTTCACATTTTGGCCCTCCCTCAGAGTTGCCTGAGCTTTCACTGTGTTTAGAAACAACTGCTCACTGCTGCTGTAGTGACTCACACTCACACCTTCTGTTCTCTCATCACCCCAATATTTGTTCTGTTCTGTGTTGCCATGAGGATGTTTTAACAAAAACTCTAGTTCTTAGACTAAACTGTCCAAATAAATATGATCAGCTTTTGGTACCATACACTGAATGTTACAGAACTGAACACATTTTTAATTTTATTAGATTATAAATGTATATTCTATATGTTTGAAATTGAGCTAAATATAGTCCTGAAACGAACCTGCTACAGGCTGTGTTTTCTGAGAACTTTAGTCGCTATTTGCTCTGCTGTGTTACCGAGGGGTAATAACAAAAGGATCCCACAATCTGTGTGCCACAACTTCACGCTGTGAGTCAACACAGCTCATTGGTTGGATGTACATTAATTGTTTTACAGTGACAGCCAAAGAAAAGGAGTGAACGCTCGGCTCAAAAGACAAATGTGCTTGTTTGTAGACTCAGCATTAACACGAGTGACACCCGTGTTGGCACACACGCACGCACTCGCCTGTAACATGTCAGTCTTTGGTGTTATCAGATTGTTTCCTGTTTCTAATCTCCACCTGCCACATATAACCATATGCTGTGTGTGTGCGGGGGGTTCTTTTCAGAGGTCTGGACCTGGTCAATGTCCACCTGTTCCATGATGCCTCCAACCTCATTGCCTGCAACTCCAGTCCTTCCATTTACTCAGCCAACCGCAAAAACGCTCTGAGATATGTCATCAACAGGTCAGATTTCCAGCTGTACACAACTATTAAAAACATGACTGTGAAATGTACAAGATGACAGCAAATACACACAGAGTTAAAACCAACACAGGACAAGTAAAACTCCTCGTCTTGGTTAATATCTGCTATCATAAAGCCTTTCCTGTCTTGTAAACAGGATATTTCAGGAATGTACATAAACTCTGACCTTTGAATGGAACAGTAGACTATCTTGAAAATATTATCCTATTTATATGAATTTGTAAACACTTAAAGGAAAGGTTTAATAGAGAAAAGGTGAGGTTTTATTGAGGAACAAGACCCTAACATTTGTGTGTGATTCATGACTGTGCTATTTCCTTGCAGGATATCAGACAGCTGCTACACTCCTCTGCCTTTCTTCCTGTTTGGAGATTTCAACTTCCGTTTGGACACACTCAGTCTGGTCCAGGTGTGTAACAACTTTAATTTCTCCTAAAGCTCAGGTGATCGGGATGTGATGTGCCATTTTAACACACACCCTTCCCTGCGTTTGTGTTTCTGCGAGCAGCATCTGTCCACCTCGGCAGATGTGCAGACGGTGAAGAAGGACTGCAGCAACGAAGTGGAGAAAATCATCTGTGAAGAAAAAGACAACGACCACCAGGTGATTAAAACCAGTTCTGATAAGAAGCAACTAACGCTTTATTTAAGTGCTGCTTTCACTTTACCTGGCCTCGCTTCACCTGCAGGTGCTGCTCCACATTGAGGAGAAGCTGTTCACCTACCTGCACCAGGCGGTTTTCAGGGAGGATAACGGAAGGGCAGTGAGTACACAGTCTCAACTTTTACCCACATTGATCCCATCAGTTGCACATGCCTGAGAGAAACTGTGCTTCAACTGGCTGCTTAGCAACAATCTGAGTCTTCACAGATTTTAGATTAGATCTCTATCAGTGGAAGTAAAGTCCTATGAATGACAGAGTAAATACAAAAGCAATGAGGTAAAGAAAACTGTGATAACTTTGACAGGGTTTTCACCCATGTTTAAGTTGTCACTCACGTCATGCTTGTGTTTAATGTGTTGAGATTTCCTGTAATCAACACCGGCCTCCATCCCTTTAGCTTTTGAAATATGACAAAGAAGCAGCAGCCTTTCAGGATGTTATTAGGGAAGAGGACATCACGTTTCCACCCAGGTAAGACTTCTAACTGAGCTGCCTGCTGCAAACATACTGGATATAAACCCCCATCTGTTATCCCTTCAATGCACTGTCCTTCTCTCTCTCAGCTACCCCTACAGTGAAGAGTACACTAAACCGACCCAGTACATGAACACTCGCTGCCCTGCCTGGTGTGATCGTATCCTCATGTCACACACTGCCCAAGAATTCACCCACAAGGTCAGTCAGTGCTTACTAGCATTGTATTTAAAGCTGAAATTAGGCTAAATAAAGACTTATATATGCACAGAACTGTAGCTTATCAATAGGTTATTTGTTGTCAGGTAAGGCTAAGTGGCTAGGGGACCTTTCGAACCCCATTGCAAACAATATTTACAGTCTCATGGCTAGAGAGTTTATAACAAGATCAGTGTCATTTATCTTATTCACTAGTACATTACCTAGCCAAATAAAGCTTCAAAATATTTAAATGATCCCTTTTTATTTTTTTTATATAGGGAATACTCACCTTGTTTTGAGCAGTTTCTTTCACTTTGCCTTTTTTACTTTTCTGCTGCCTTAGATAAATGTTTCTTCTTGAGTTACTGTTGCCACGCCTGTCGACCTTCATGTTATCTTACGGGGCATGTGTTCGGTTTACAATAACAATAGATTTCTAATGGCAGTGATTTACCATTCAAAATTCATAGTAATGTTCACTAAATCAGTCCTTGATTTCAGTAAGAGACAGACTAAAACAGGCTTCTTATTTCCAGATGGTGACCGTCGTTTTTTGGCTGAAATGATCTGCATTTGCAGACTATCAGCTGTAACCAGCTGGTAGCTAATTAAATGGTAGATTCATGAGTTGGTTGTCTCTGTAGCTGACTTGTTTTAAAATGTGCACTTAATGGCTATTTACATGATAACACTGTTTTTTCTGTGAGGCTGAGGCTAAAGTTGCGTCTCCCAGGCAAAAAGTCAGCAGCATCCTCATGAGTTGATGTTGTATGTAGAGGATGTGGAAATGAGGAACAGTACAGTGTTAGTATCAACCTGTTATTTCACTCAATCAAAACCCTGTTTAGACAAAGTTGTCATACGTACTAGCCACTGACGTGTATTCTCTCATATTAGCATTACGCTGTTGTGCTATGTCACTTCCTGTGTAACAATTCTGGTTTGAACTGAATTATTTGGCCTGGTCATCGTCTCCACGTGTACAAAATAGCGACGTTTTAACTCAAATAAGTTAGACATGTAAACTCTAATGTTGAATGTCACGTTTTATTTATTTATTATTTGTCCCGGTGTAATAAAAGTTCATTCTTCTTTTCAGGGAGATGACGGTGAGAAGAGCGTTGTTTACAACACAGTGGGTCCTAATGTCTGCATGGGAGACCATAAGGTAACAGGTTAAATATTATATATGTTGTGTGGGCAAACAAACCAGCCCTGTAGAGTAACTCTGGTGTGTTCTTGTGGTTTTCTTGTAGCCGGTTTTCTTGTTCTTCTCCCTGAAGACAAATGACCATTGACTCGGATGCTTCTGAATGGTAAGAGCCAGTGAGTGTGTTTCTATACTGTACAGTGTGTGGAGGTGTATATGTTTCTAGGGATTCAGTGTGTGAGAGCGCTCACAGTAATCTTGCTCCGCTCCCCAGAGAGCCATAACCCAGACTGGCCCATTGGAGTCGGGATATGAACTAAGATGAAGTGCCTGCGGGACACGAGCACTCCTTTGTGTCCAGCGTAGTAGGACCAGAGGCGATCAGCACCTTTCACTGATCTATGTCTATTGAATCCTCTCCACTGTCACTGTGGCCACACACTAAGTGCATTGCTGGCCCGCTTTTTATTAATTACCATCTGGATGGTCGGCTGGAGAGACATGCTTTGTGCCGGACAGCGTATTGGCATTTTTACGGCCATGATTTTGTTTTCCTGCCGTTTAAATTTATTTTTTTTAAGGATGGACGGCTTTTTCATGAGAGCTGCAAAATAAAGAGATCCACACGATGAAGGGACTTAAAAGATGCTACAACTAGCTCGCTTTTTCTTTCATGTTTGACATTTTGAGACACAGAGCAAGTTCATTCCAGGACATCAGTAACTCGGCTACATTTTATTTCATCATAACAGATTGATTTCACATGGGAATGCTTGGCCTTATCTTAGAAGGGAGGTGTTTTTGTGTGCTTTGAATGCAGCTTTGAATTTCTTCCAATGGCCTCATACTTATTAATAGTGTGAGAAAATAGGGCACTTTTTATAACCCCTGACAAAAAGATACTATGTCCCCACCCGCTGTATCATTCCTATGATTTTGTTTCTGTTGGCACATCAAGGCAGTCTGGTGTGTGTGTGTGTTTGTGTGTGTCCGTGTGTGTGTCCGTGTGTGTGTGCGTGTGCGTGTGTCTTCTGCAGGTCTATAACAGTACCATCCTCAGAGCTATGCCACAGTCTCAGTACCAGACGGTAATCAGCATGATGGTTACCTCCTACAACCCACCAGTCAGCCAGCTGCGGGTCTCAACACAGGTTGTCCTCACACCAGTGGTGTCTCGCGTCTGATCTCACTGCCACACACTGTGGACCACCACTTGAGTGACACAAGCACAGATTTATCAGCAGCTTTCATGGATTCCTGCAGCAGTCCAGAACCTCCACTCACTCTCTGAGCTCAAATCCCCTGACCTGAAAGCTCAGTGTCTCTGAGGATGTTCCTTCAATCCCTGCTTGCAGCCATGGAGACTTTTTTTTTTTTAATTCGATTCAAACAACGATGTAAAGACTTTTACATGGATGTATACACGCATATGCAAATATTCTTTAATTTTGATTAGAGGAATTTCAGTTGCATTCATCACAAATTTCCCCGTTCTTCGTCGGCCTCTAAATCATTTATTAAATCTCCACTAATGTAGCAACTGTACTGGATAGCTTCCACTCGGTAGGTTTTAAATTAACAGTTAAATTCAGCCAGTCAGAATCCAGTATTGTGAAACTCTTGTGTAAATAAGTTTTAGCTAAACATTATGAAGAACATTAGTGTTATTATGAGCCATAGTCTGTGTAAAAACAAAATAATGAAAACTAAAAAAAAATGTGGATTTGGAGCAGGCCTACTGACCATGTGTGTATGCTTTTTATTTTGTATTTTATGCCATTTTTAGTTCAGGCAGGTTGTTTACTATGACTGTAAACAGGATTTCACAGGAAAGCAGGAAACACAGTGAAGGAATGCTGCTAATCTCAGTTTCCTGTCGACATGTTTGATCAGATACGCTCTGCAGATAAAACATAATTTACGAAGAATTTTTTACTGACATGTTATTGTTTTTCACACGTGTAGCTATTTCATCACAGCAGCTTTAACTGTCACGTGTCTTGGTTACATTAAAACATCTATTTCAGAATTTTGATAAATGCATATGACAAGTTTAATATCAAAATGACACTAGAGGGTGGACAAAAGGCCAACAGCATTTTAAAGCGACAACAAAGCGACTACAGCAGTTCTGTCTGTTTTTATTAATTCATTAACACATCAGCAGTGTTTTACCCTGTTGAATTTAGTAGCATTCTTCTGTTTTTCCATAAACTAATTGTACCTGAATACCAAGTGCTTTATTCCACAAACTATAAATCATCAGTTCTCAATGTTTGGATTTCTTCACTCTTTTTTTCACAAAGTTATCTTCACAGTTCGTCTGCACAAAAATCTCTTCCACCCTGTTCTGGTTGGCATCTCCCTTGTTTCATTGCCAAAAGAATTACACTGTAGGCCTCGTGTGTTTACTTCTAACTCTAGTTAAGGAACGTGGATGTTTCCATCACATGGCTTCGTTTGAACTTGATAAAATCTTGTGTGTATATATATAATATATATATATATACGTGTGTTTTGTTGATTCATAGTTTCATACTGTAGCACCAGTGCTGTATAATATTCTTGATGTGTGAATTATTGGTTAGATTTCTTCTTCTTTTTTTTTTTAATCTGGCTTTAATAATGACTTACTGAAATAATTTGAAATATGTAGTGGTTTGTAACCATCCATACAGTAGTTATACCCGATTATCCTTCAGAGTCACAGGATGGGGCCTGGAGCCAATCCCAGCTGACACATATTTTAATGTTTGTTTATTTTTTTCTTACACAGCTTGGTAGACCGGTACACTCCCTTTATTCATGCAAAAATACTCTTCATGCATAAATTCACAGATATTCTTATCAAGTTTGGACTGTCAGTCGTGTTTTTGCAGCGACCCCCGAAACCTTGCCATAACAAGATTAAGTTAAGAATCTGTGATTACTGTGTAATAAACTTTTAGCAGTTCACTGTTGACCAGTCATGGGAGTGGAGTTCATTATAAGGCCAGTATTACCTTTCGATTAACTCTGGACAAACACTACATCATTGTGATATTTCACTTTTGTAAATAAAATATTACCCTCATAAATATGTTGTATTGGTATTGACTGACACTGGAGTCTATGTTGCAACATGTCAGGGATTTTGAAACCGAAAGCTTTGACTTTTGGGAGCAACCAAAGTTATCACTGAACAGTTAATTTAAGTCACACCTTTTTGCGGAAATCCTTTCGTGATCATAAACACATTATTTCCTGCATGAAGCTGATAAACCTGCTGCTGCTTTTCAGGCTTTAGCTGTTACTAGGAAAACAAGTGAAATCTTGACAGGAGTAATCTACAGTAAATAAGTACAATAATCATTAGCATTATTCTTTTTTCTTTCAGTCATATTGACATTAAAAAAATGCAAAGTCACACTGACTTGTGTAGGTCGCATTGAAGAAAAATAGACCAGCATCATGCAAACTAGACATCAATGCTGCACTTACTTAACCTAATGCGTATATTACTGTACGTCCGTGTTATGCATGCAGTTTCCATAGTTATAGGATTCAGCCGTGGGGTGAGCGGCACTTATTTAGTGACAGAAGAAGAAAAATGACACCTAAAACAGAGGAGGTATTGAGCCTGCCCTCTAAAGCTGGAATGGGCTGGCAATTTAGGACATTTTGTTCAAATTGGAAGTCTTTAAGGGTCAACAAATCAAGAGACTGATTCTAACCTTTTATTGCATTTCATGTTTGTGTTGATTCAATGGTTTGACTGATAAATCCAGCAGCAGCTTGGAGGGAGACTGAAGTGTTTATTGCTTCCAAGAAATTCATAAATCCCAATGATTTTATAATGCTTGATCATTTTTAAATATTTGCATCTAACACTGCCTCGGTGGCATTCCTCGGCTTCTTCTTCATCCGGCCTGATGTCAGCTGCCTGAACCATATAGAGTCTGAACTCACTGGGCCTAAATGGTGAATAAGCTGGTCTGTTGGTATTGATTTCCTATTGAAGTGGGTTGTGGGGGTCATTGTCTTCAATTAGGCCCGACCACAATAGTAAATCACACAAGATTGGACCTTTGACCTTTGCAGTTCTCTTTGTGCCTGTTTGCTTGCAGTTTCATTTCAACTGTCACTTCACAGCAATTACACCGACAGAACTGCTGCCAAATAAATATGTTTGAGCTTTTATTTAAAAGCAGACAAGACAGTTTGCCATTCACGGTTATTTATTGTGCACCATCTTAGGGAGTTTTTAATTTTTTTTTAACATTGTCTGCCTGACTATTCCAAGTATAGAATATGAAAAACAAAGTGTTAACTGGCAGTTATTTTAAGCAACTGAAAGTCAGCATTCAATTAAAGCATTTAGCAGAATTACAAGTTATACTGGTTTCCCTAACACGCCTGTGCACTTCTTTCTCTGCACTGATTTCCTGTAATTAAAAATGTATTCCTGCAATGTATTTTAGAGTTTATAAGCATGTGCACTCAAATCCAGAATGTGTAATTTCTCTCAAAACAGTTAACTTCTACAGTGAGTGTGTCAAACTTTTGATGAAGTATTTGGTGTTTATTGATGGATTAATAAAGCTGTTTTACCATGTGGCATGGCACTTTCTGTGGTTTCATTTTGAAATTCATATAAGCACAAAATAATCACAAACTGTTCAAAAGGAGAACACAACTTCAGGTTCCTTTCTTTTTTATTTATTAGTACAATCAATAGCATCATGCAGTTTTTTATGTCATTTTCTTGTGTTTTTACAAAACAATGTGTCAGACATAATCCCCCCCTCCCCACATACCAGTGTCACATTAAACAGACCAGAGATCATTTCTTACAGTAACTTATAAAAGTAAACGTCTTTTTAGCTTAATTTTTAACAGCCTGTTTGTCTGCTGAACCCTTTTTGTTGGATGACCACAAATGACCTCTTCTGAACATGCTTAAATGCTCATTCATTAAACTTTGTATTCAAAACTAATAACTTTTATTACAGCATGCAGGCCTGCTGAGAAGCGTGTGTGTGTGTGTGTGTGTGTGTGTGTGTGTGTGTGTGTGTGTGTGTGTGTGTGTGTGCGCGCGTGTGTGTGTGCGCGCGTATTAAGTCTGTCAGACTTGGTGCGGCCCGAGGCGCAGGACGGAGAAAGCCCTGCGGTGTTTGCGCAGCAGCAGTCGGATCTTGTCGTCGTCGGAGTCGGGGTCCAGAGGCTTGTTGTACTCCTCGTCCTCCACCTCGTTTTCCGAGGCCTCCCCGCCCTGCCCTGCGTGGCTGGCCTGCGTGGAGCTTGGCTCTGAGGCGCTCTTCTTCCTCCACTTGGTGCGTCGGTTCTGAAACCACACCTGAACACAACCGGGAGGGCGGGTTACTGTCGGTGGGCGTGATGGATAACCTTTCTTGACAGGTGCATCTTGCTTACAGATATTATGAAACATGGGAAGGTATGAAAGTCATCCCTGACCGCATTCTGCGTGGTGGTAAGTAGATATGTGTGTGTGTGTGTTAAAAGCTGTTGTTGGTCCTCCTGACCTCCCTTTGTAATAAAGCCACCATTTCACAATATCTACACTTGTAAGTAAGTAAATAAGTCAGTAAACGTTATTTCTATGGCACCTTTCCAAAGTTACAATCAGTGGTGTAGTGATGCCTGGAGAAGTGATCAGCCAAAAATGTGTCAGGAGTATTTACACATTATCAGTTAACTTCTGCTGCTTGACTTCAGGCAATATGGATCATTATGGAATTAACATGAGCCACAGAATTAGTGCAGATTTTGCCATCAGTACTGGCCCACAGGCAGGTGAGACAACTACATAATTATCTAAAGTATTCCTTATTCCATCCACTCATGAAAACTGAACAATAATGTCATGCCTTCGCCATCCTAGGAAAATAAACTCTGCTGGCAGCTCAACTGGCATTACGTGCATCAGAGGGGATTTAGAAGTGGGTTTACCCAATACTGACTGAAAAATATACTCCATATACCTGCGTATACCCTGTAATACACCCCTGGTTAGAAGTTAGTGCACATAAAACCATTAGAGTAATACATTTAAAGTTACCTTATAAGTTGTAAGTCACATAAAAGCATCCCTTTAACAGCTTTAGTGTAAATGTGCTGTTATTTTTACCTTGACTTGTGATTCAGTCATGCCCAGAGAATAAGCCAGTCTTGCTCTCTCAGGCCCGGCCAAGTACTTGGTCTGCTCGAATGTTTTCTCCAGAGCGAATATCTGATGTCCACTAAATGTTGGCCTGGTGTGTTTCTTCCTGCCTGACATCTCCCCCAGAGGACCATTACCTGAAAATATCACACAGGAATTAGATTTACCCACTGAAATACTATATGTAAATAGGTGGGACAATATTTTTTCTCTGCATATCCAGAAAAAAAGATGATAATGGAGTGATTTGTTTAGTTTGTTACTCAGTATTTTGAATATAAATCATTATAGTAGAAGTTATATAGTTATATTATAGTAGAAGAAATAAAAACAATTGAATGAGCAGCACCATTCACATATATTAAAGTGACATTTAATTAATATTTGATTGAATATTTTTGTATTTTCTTTTAGATTATATCCTTTAGACAAGTCTCCTAAAATGGAAATTTACACTTTTAAGATTATGAAGATTTAAAACATGTTGAATAATATCTTATATAAACTCAGCATTACTCAGTTTTTCAGAATCAAACATTTAACCTAGTTGAGTTGACTTTTTTGAAATTACTGTATAATTCTGTATCTATTCTCATTAGATTGAATTTCTCTCTTTAAGTAGAGACAAAAGGACCTTCTGGCATCACTAACTGTTGAGTCCTCAGAGACAGATGCAGGGAGGTTGTAATGTGTTGATGGTCTGGATGTTGAGTCCAGTCTGCAGTATTTAGACTCACTGTTGGTGCACTGCTGCCTCCCTCCTCTCCAGTCACAGCCGCTCTCCGCCCAGCAGCTCACACTGCGACCCTTCATGGGGCACTCGGCGCTGGGTTTGGAGAAGCCGCCCAGGTTGGAGTTGTAGTCTCGGTTATAGTACATGGACGTGCCGGTGACGGAGGGGCCGAACCCCCCCATGGTGGAGTATCCGGACAGCAGGGTGGTTGTGCCCGTGGAGCCCATCCCCATCATGGAGCGGCTCAGGATGTCGCTGATGCCGTGAGGGGTCCCTGCCTGCAGCTGGCTGTTGAGGCCCGGGTTGAGCTTGTAGAAAGAGTTGGGCACTGAGTACTGGCACACTGGTGCCTTGAGGTCCGAGGGGAACTGGTTCAGGCTGTTGTTGAACAGGAAAGACCCCTGGATGTTTGGATCCATGGGGAGTACTGTAACTCTGCCTCCAGGTCTCAGTAACACATCCAACAAGATCCAGGCAGGAAAAGACCTCTGATGGGCCCACAAGGAGTTCTCTCACCCACAGGCAATGCCTGAATCTGGGATCCCAGCCACCGTCCCCAGATATTCAAGTAATTAAGAGTGCTAATAGCAATTTTAACAAAGTCCCTGGTGTTTGCCAAAGTTGCTATCACATCAGAAACAGTGTAGCAGCAGATACACCTCTTCTCAGCCACAGTGTGGTCTGTGATAATCCCATATCTGAAGTCTCAGGCAAGCCCTCTGGACACTGATTTTTAGTGTTCTTCTAATGTGCCTCCTGCCGGCTCTCCCCTCAGTAATCATAAATAAGCAGTATCTGAAAATGGAGTGGCACCTTGATAAAGATAGGCCACATTAGAATGCAGCCTGGGATTGGCCTGGGTCTCTCCGCTTTATTGCCCTCCTATTGGCTGCTCCCTGAAAGCCAAGCCTTTTATTGGAAGGCAGTAGATTAATAGTGTTTTGAACAGGTGGAGTGGGAACAAGTTGATTTTTTGATGGCCTGCCATGTCTGACCAAGTGTGGTGGAGCAGAGGCAGCTGAGCCTGAAGTGCACGGAGGAGAGGAAGAAGGGCGGCTCTGTCTCCTGCTCCAAGAATGGAGAGATGTAGTTTTGAAACAAAACAATATATTGTTGTGTTGTACATAACATAAGCTTAACCCTGACAAAAACAAAATCTAAACGTATGCACTAGTTAATGTCAGTTAAACCATAGCATATCTGGTGCAGTTCATAAACAGATCTTCTTTAACCCACATTACAGTTTCTGCTCTAGAAATATATTTAGAAAATGTAAAGATGTTGTCAATCAAAGCGTCATCCTAAATCAAATCTAAATCTGGAAATTCACATTACCTACCCACAGATTCTCTAATCTTCATCAACCCCATTTCCAGTTTCAAGTGACAATATACATCATGTATATAAATATGTAATATAAGTGTTATAAATGTATCATATTAATGTATTGTAAGGTTTTGTATTCAAAAAAACGTCTAAGTATTCCAAGAAATCAGATGTAGTTCATGGAAATCTCTAACCCATTATAGTAATTGCCTCTGACAACACTGCACTCATTTATGACATGTGTTGGTCTGACTTCAGTTTCGTTGTATGTTGCAACAATTATTACTTCCTAGTTAAACATTCTTTTCTTCTCTGTAACAAACCGGACATACAGTTGCTATTGGACCACATATCTGACATTTCAATGAATTTTTTTTCCTGATAATTTAGTAATAACATAAGAATTTGATACAAATTCACTAGCACTGCACGTGAAGAGAGGTTTTATTGAGCTTAATTACATTTTATATACAGTTGTAATTGTCTTATGATGCCTTTTAATGACCTTAAGAAAAATGTAGTCATGCAGGTGTTAATATTAATAGGTTTGCTGCTATTTGAATAGGAGTGTATATATTAGAGTTTTGGTAGTTTTTGCAGTTTTCAAGCTGACATTTTTCATTATACTACAGGATGAGCATGTCTTGAAAAGAGTAGAAATGTATGCCTAGAATCAAACACTTAATCTGCACAGGACATAATCTCCCCATCATATGCATATGAAAAGATGCTTCACAATATGTTGTAAAAAACATTCCTACATCCTACAAGTCTGTATGTGTTTTAGGTGTGGTCTGCAGGATCAATCAGGGGACAGGATGTGGGGAATTTCATGAGAAAACATGTGAGGTTTTTGGTCATCGTAGGAGAGGAGCTAGTAACTTTCCAAGGCTGATGATGTCACTTTTTATTTCCAGTAATTGCCTCATCCCGTCACATGATCAGGACAGCCAACCAACAGTGTGTGTCCTTTAGAGGGCGACAAAGCTCTGTAAACACTGGTATATGATACAGCAACAACCGGAAATTTTAAGGTATGAATCTCTACATGTAGTCATCCCATAAATATGTATGAAGTTCCTCTAAATCCACGGAGCCGGTCAGGGAAGTGGTATCCACTGTTTTGGTTGTGTTTTCCATGATGTTTGAGTCAGATGACTTTTCCAGGTCTATTGTATGACATTTCCTAAAGAGCCCATTGTACTGTGGCTCTGATAAAATGACTCCATTGGTGTCAGAACATTCAAATATTAGATTCAGTTCAGCTTAGAAGAATAAAGTCTTTGCATGCAGTGTCATTGTTCAACTTCAGAGGAAAAAGATGCCTCTCATTTTACAGTAAGAAATCAAGAGCAGTGAGCTGATACATAAGGTAGTTACACACATTTTAAAAGGTTACATGGAGGCAGACACTACAACTGATTATCAAATATAGGCAACGCCAGATTAATTACAATTGGAGGTTGTGAGAAAGCTACATTTCCTAAATAAGACTGATTCAAATATATTATAATATGCATATAGTATTTTTAAAATGTTATTTTGTGCACAAAAACTGTGCATTTGAATGCTGTCTTTCAGCATAAAACACAATCACAAGACTATGACAAATAATGAAAGTGATACTTTGCTACATAGGAGCCAGAATCACAAGGTGCACAACCTTAAATTGTGGTTTTATTGTCTCACATAAACAGGATTCACACTAACAAAAAAATTTTGGCACCTTGCCCTTCCTGGCTATGACTTTAGGTAAATTTCCAAAGTTTGGTTCCTCCCTCAGTCCCTCCCCTTTTACTGTCCATGTGATGAAGGGAATGTTTGTTTTCAAGCCACACATGCACCATGTTTTAAAGGCAGCCAAGACTGACACACTTCATGACAATCGAACCAAGATACTGCAGTGAGCACATCATCTCTCAAGACACAAAGAAAATTGCCTCTTCAAGATGGTGAAGGACAATGACAACAGGAACTCTGGTGAGATATTTATTCTTGGTCTTCAGCCTTTACAGAGAGCTTGCTATGCTATTTACATTACTGCTTTAAATGTCAATAAGGTCCTCTGATAACCACAGTTTGTCAATTTGCCAAAACTGATATAAAGTATTAGTTTTCATATTGTTACTAAACTAAATACGAATACTAAAAATAAGTAAATACTAATTAATTTACAATTTTATAGTTTAGTAACACAAATTTGAGTGACAGTTGATTTTTAAGCCAACAGAGCAGATACTTTTATGCCATATAAGTATATTAATTTGGTATAAAAATTGCACCTATATTTTATGTATACATACATCATGAAAACATCCCTAATTTCATTTTTTTTTCAAGAGCTACTGAAAGTTACTATTCTGCCCGTTAAGGCAGCAATCACTACTGGTAAAAATCTGATTAAGGATTTATGTGCTGTAATGTTTAAAAGCGATGAGTAAAAGCACGTATACAGTAAGCAGCTGGGTAATATTGTAGTAATTACAGTATTGCTACAGTCTGTGAGTCACACCTGCAAGAAAAAGCCTTTGTGTTCACGGGCTGGCTGGTGTCTCATCGCTTACTGTAGCTTTTTACCAACGCTTAAAAGTGAAAGTGCAAGCGTTGGCTACTTTCTGTATTACTTGTTTACAATTTTATCTGCAGTTATAAAATCTCTATCAGTCAACTTTATTGCTGTTGAGAGATTAACTTGCATCCGGTTCAAATATAGACTATAAACACTTGGTGATAATGTGACCTTGAGGATCAATACAGTAGGAATATAGATATGGTGTTAAGAAATTAGATTGTTTTGTAATATGATGCTACTTTTTTAACACCTTAAGCTCATTAGTTATCCATGATTTCATATCATTTAATGAGCAGAAGTTCAGGTTATTACCCACTTCTTCTTGTATGAAATTCAGCACAATTTCTGCACACAACTTTAGTACAAGTTATTGTTTACTACACTGCATTCAGGTAGTAGAGGCAAAGCTTCCCAGCTTGTTGTTGTTATTGTCTGTGACGTGCACATTATTGTGCAGATGTAATCTACATGATTGGACTGAAGAAAAATTCACTGTATGCAAACATGGCTTGCGCATCAAGATTCATAACTGTGTTTTTGTCCCTTTGCAGAGAGGACACACCGGTGCGGTCTGTCCTGCCTCGGCCCTCTGACCTTCCACGGTCAGGCTGTGGGAGTTCAGGTCTGCTTGAGTTATGGGCGTCAGCTCGCAGAGAGGAGGGAGTCCACTTTCAAGAACGGCCTGGTGTTCAGCAGCCGCCCAGTGAAGATCCAGGAGAGGATTCGTCTGAGGGTGCAGAAGGATTTGTTTAACTGGCACGGAGCTCTGCGTTTGGGCTTCACCAACATCGAACCTTCAGACAGATCTCTGCCTCTGCCCACCATGGCCATCCCCAACCTCACTGACACACCTGGACACTGGGCTGCTCCTGTGCTTGAATCCTACTGCCGTGCAGGTTCAGAGCTGGAGTTCTGGGTTTCTCATGGAGGCAGCATATACGTTGCTAACAAAAGCTTCGGGCAGCGCAAGATATTTACAGGAGTGGATCTCAGCAAACCGCTGTGGGCGATGGTAGACATCTACGGACAGACGTGCTCCGTTTTACTATTGGGTCAGTTTACTTGTAAATAACAATGATGTGTGTTCTTACAGTAATTTGAGGGCAGGACATTTCACATGCACTAATAATTTTAAATAGATTAAATGATTAAATGCCTCTACTCTTTGCTTCAGGCTCAGAGAAACAAGGACTGCTTCAAACTAGACGGTCCTGTCCTGCACCTGATGACCTCCCGGCATCCAACGTTGACAACCACAACAGTTGGATTTCTGATGGATACAGTGACGACAGCATGTCCTGTCTAGATGTGGAAGTCCCAGCAGGTGAGAATGAGTTCCTCCAACTTATTATCTGATTTCATTTTGAGCCAGAGAGGATGACATTGTAATAATCAGTGAGATCAGGTGTAGGAGTGTTTGTATGGCTCGCTTTGATCTCAGTTTTGTAATTGTGATTTCTCTGTTTTGATCATAGATGAAGACAGTGTTACGATCTGTGTGGTGTGCATGGGAAGAGATGCCAGAATCACTCTGCCTTGTGGTCACCGGTGTCTGTGTAACCACTGCACCCCAAAAGTCATCCACCAGTTCGGCAACTGCCCGCTGTGCCGACACAAGATCCTGGCTCCATAAGTGGGGATGGGGAGGTCTGTCTTTGGGGTAGTATAAGCTCCAACTCACCATGCAAGAATCACCAAATAAAAGCTACTGAGTGACTGTGAACAAAGAGAACACTAAGAGTAAATCCTGGTGGACCAGTGGTTGGGGGGGTTTACCGTATGGCCACAGTGTCGCCGATTGAAGCCCAATCAGGAAACTTATTAAACTGTCTCTTCCTTATTATGTAAATGTTGTACAGCTTGTGTAAAATACGATGTACTATGATGTAAATGTGAAGATACTGAGCGTGTGTGAAACCTTACTGTTTAAAAAATTAGGAAACTGGATTTGTATTATCACTGTTGAAGAAGGAAAATGTAATTTCTTTTGGTGAAGACAATCAATAACTTATAAGATATATTTATTGCACTCAGGGCATAATTTAAAATGTAATTTACATCTTTCCATTGTACAGTTTATTTTACCTCCTTAATGCTGTAAATATTAAATCAATCTTTATTTTTGTAAAGATATTCTTCTCTGAAACTGATGTTTTTATATTATTTGTCAAAAATATGGCTGTAAAAATAAATTTTATTATGTTTATCACTTTATTCAGTTTTCTATTGACTTCTTTTGTGTGACACAAACATTCCTACAACATCAGCTTATAAAGTCAATATATAGTCCTTAACAACATTTAATAACTGAGATTTATATAATTAAATTTAGATAATTTGACAAAACAATCTGCATTCAGGGTCTACTTACTCCTATGTGTGGAGAGAGTGGGTCTTGTTTTGTCAGCTGCTCTACAGAGGGTCAAGAATGAATGGTCAACTGTCAGAATAAGAGCATGTTTTCAGATAAAAGCGTGATTGTGGCTGTTGGAAATTGAAATGTGGCAAAACATTGAAAAATGAATACCAACACATGGCAGAAATCATGAATCTTTGCAAAAAGAAGCAAAGATCCACATGCAGACTACAAGTAGACCACAGATGAAAAGAAGTCAGTCACTAATCATTGCTCAAGTTGCACCAAGAGCCTTAACAAAGATTGAAATACTACTTAATCAATCAGCAAAAGTACTGTCCCCTGACCTAACATGAATACAGTGGTTCTTATTGTTGCAAATAGTATGTGCCATGTCTTTAGAGAAGTTTTCAAATGTGAAAGTACAACAATCGACTAGTTTCGTTATTACTTGTTTACAGTTATAACTGTTTTATAGTCTTAAAATGACCGTCAATATCAAATGTATTATTGAAGCAAAGAAAATGATTAACAAAGCTGGTTAAGATAAAACAAAAAAACGTGACATTGAGGATCAAATGTGGCTGATGGTGCAGGAAATTAGCATCATCAGCACCAAATGTGTTTGTCACTTATTCACATTTTCACTACTTTTTTATGCAAAGTTGAAAGAGCCTCATATAGCTCATCTGTCGTCTGCTGGTTTGCTCTAATGTAGGTTAAAGGACACTGAGGGTGGATGTCCCCTTTTGTCTGTGCAGATTGCTTTGATCATTTTTCTTCCTGATAGGATTAAAAAGAAAACCTAAACCCAGGTTTAGGTTCTAACCCTCATGCTTTGCATTTAGAGAATATGCATTCCAGTAATACATATGACAAGCAATAGGGGTTGACCTCAGCTACCTACTAAAATGGCAATGACAGAAATATGCACAGACACGACCTACTTACTGGACCTGTTTAGGTCATAAGGTTCATTTCCTGTATGCTGTTTTGTCTCGTTCTTCTGATTTATTCCCCTGATATTTTACATGTATTACCAAAAAATAGTATATGACAAAAGGATTACAGTTTAAACTCAAGTAATATATTTAAGTAAAGTAACGCTTTATGAAACAGCATGAATGCCTCCCACTTCTGATCATCGAAATCCCACCAGATCACAATCAACAAAGTGTCAACTGGCAGCATTAGATATCAAAGAGAAAATCATTCTGTTGTAGAGAAACGTACCTTTTTGCACCGTGCATTACGCTAACACAAACAACATTTAGTGACTTCCTGTTAGATTTTTTTCTGTGACATGTGCAGATTGCTTTGCAGGTGTAATCTTAAGAAGGCTGTTTTACACCAGACGGTCCTATCTTGCACCTGTACGCCTCGCTTCACCTAATGTTGACAACCACTACAGTTTGATTCCAAATGAAAACAGTGAAGGTGGTATGTCCAGTCTTGCGTCTTTTGAGCTAGAGAGGAGGAGGCGGAGGAGGAGGAGGAGGAGGATGTTATCAGTGAAAACAGGTGCACAGGAGTGTTTATGCTGAATTAAAACATGGCACTCCCTGATGTCAGTCTTGTTATTGTGATTCCTCTGTTTTGGTCATAGAGGAAGGGTGTAATGGACTGTGTGGTGTGCATAGGAAGAGAGGTCAGAACCACTCTGCCTTGTGGCCACAAGGGTGTGTGTAAGCACTGTGCCTCCAGGGTCGTCCATCAGTTTGGCAGCAGACTGCTCTGCCGACAGGAGATCAGAGCTCCCTCAGTGGGGATGGAGGGGGAGTGTGCCTCTGGAGTTTGCTAAGCTCCAAGACACCAGGTAGGATTCACTAAATAAAAGCTACTCAGTGACTCCAACAAAATAAAACACTATGAGAAGATCATTCAGTTGTAAAGAAAATTGTTGTTTTGCACCTGGCACTCAGGTAACAAAAACTACATCTACTGACTTCCTGTTGTTAGATTTTCTGTGACAAGTGCAGATTGTCTTGCAGGTTAAATTTAAATGAGTCTAACACAATATTCATAAAATGTCTGTGCCTATTAACGTATACAGTTATTTAACAATGTATATGACAATAATAGTGCTTCATATATTAGATAAAAATAAGTATACAAACCTACATACACGCATATATATCCATACATACATATATATACACAATAAACAAAGTTAAAGGGCAAACACAGAGCTTTTATAAAACAGCTGACCTTCAGAAATCATTTTTTAGCAATCCCTTAAAACAAATCACAGATTCAACACATCTGATGGGACGGCCAGAGCCTGTTCCAGAGTTTACGAGCTACGACCGAAAAAGCAGGGCTGACCTTGGATTTAAAATATGTATGAGGGACAGATAAAAGGTTTTGATCAGATGAGACTCAATAAGAGCAGTGAACTACTCACCACTTAGTGGACCTTGTATGCAGATTGTTTTGTCGACTGTTCTACAAGGTCAGGCATGAACTGCCAAAACATGAGCCTGTTTTCAGATAAGAGCATGTTATTAAGGAACTTTGGGAATGATCTGAGACTTAAAAAAATAAAAACAATACTAGCACCAGCATCCTGAATCTTTACCGACAGAAGCAAAGATCAATGTGCACACTATAGATGAAACTACATATGCAGCCACTAATCACTGCAGTATTAATATTGTTGTGAATGTTATGTATATATGTCTTCAGAAGGCTCTGCAAATGTGAAAGTGCAAGCTAGTTTCATTATTACTTGTTTACAATTATAATGGTTTTATAATCTTCAAATGACCATCAACATCAAATGTATCATTGCAGCAAAGCAAATGATTAACAAAGCTGGCTGAGATAAAATAAAAAACATGACACTGAGGATTAACTGTGGTGTTGTAGTTGAAAATAAAAACCAACCTGAATCTTATCTTTGCAAAAAGAAGCAAAGATCCATGTGCAGACTACAAGTAGACCAAAGATGAAACTAAATCAGTCACTAATCATTGCTCAAGTTGCACCAAGAGCCTTAACAAAGATTACAATACTACTTAATCAATCAGCAAAAGTACTGTCCCCTGACCTAACATGAATACAGTGGTTCTTATTGTTGCAAATAGTATGTGCCATGTCTTTAGAGGAGTTTTCAAATGTGAAAGTACAACAATCGACTAGTTTCGTTATTACTTGTTTACAGTTATAACTGTTTTATAGTCTTAAAATGACCGTCAATATCAAATGTATTATTGAAGCAAAGAAAATGATTAACAAAGCTGGTTAAGATAAAACAAAAAAAACGTGACATTGAGGATCAAATGTGGCTGATGGTGCAGGAAATTAGCATCATCAACACCAAATGTGTTTGTCACTTATTCACATTTTCACTACTTTTTTATCCAAAGTTGAAAGAGCCTCATATAGCTCATCTGTTGTCTGCTGGTTTGCTCTAATGTAGGTTAAAGGACACTGATGTCACCTTCTGTCTGATGTAACGTTTTAGAGATGTAATCTTTCTGATAGGACTGGGAAAAAAATCTCAAGTGCAAACACAGGTTTTCATCTTTCAGCGCAACCCTCATGGTTTGCCTGAAGAGAATATACATTCCACCTATATGACAAAAAACAGCAGATCAAACTAATAACAGGGGTTGACCTCAGTCACTCACTAAGCGGTAGATACGTATCTATGCACAGACATGCCCTATTTACTGGGTACATTTAGGTAATGAGGTACATGTCCTGCATGTTGTACAGGCTGTTTTTTCTTCTTCTCATATATTGGCCTGACATTTTAAATGCATTAGCCTACACTGTTATGTGTAAATATTATATATTCATCATGAAGTGTATTGATAATGTATGTGATAAACCACATTTGCTGTACCAGAGAAGAAAAAAAGTTGGGGGGGGGGGAACATATTTTTGTGCTTTGAAGGTGTTTCTACAGATTGATGGTGGCCTGTTTGTGATTCTGGCGACATCTATCTGTATCCATGGTACATTATAAAACTCCACACAGTTCTTCTCAGAACCACCAGGGGGCAGTGTGGCACAGTTTATCACGAACAAAAATTGTACTGATGTAGAAGTGATATGTTTTTGTATAATATTTGCATATAGTGCCTGGCATGTATGTACACATATGTATGCATATGTTTACGTATATGTGTGTGTTATGTTTGTTATGTGTTGTGCTATGATGTTTGTGTCCTGGGACTTCCTGATAGTTCACCTTGAAGAGAAACCCCCCTCTTCCTCTCTTCCCCTTTCCTGTTCCTCTTCAGCTATCACTTTCAGTTAAAGGCAATAAAAGCCCATAAATAAAAATGATGTGTGCATAGAAATATATATATATTTGGTTATGTGTTTAAAATAAAATTGAGCATATATAAGCTTATCTACATTTAAACAAGTATTTTAGATATAGAATTAACACAAATATTCAACCAGATTTATAAAAGACATGTAAATCTGTTGGAAATTAATGTTTGAGAGCAGACCAAGCAGACCAAAGTGTGAGCCTGTAAAGCTCGGACTGCATCATGCATGCTCATCTGAAGCGTGACAAGTGTGGGTGTTTTTTTTGGTTTTTTTTGATGAGGGGAAATCATTAACTCAGAAATAGAACTGTAATATAATTTGGTACAGGAAATGTTATTCCAAGGCTCAAAGTGTTTCTGGGGTGCTACATGTGCAGCCGGTGCCATGGCAGCCCCCCTCCAGGGGCCTCCACACATCACCTGAGTTCATAGAACTTGAATACACAGAACTGAACTGCTGTCCTCTTTCAGGGAAGAGTCTGAAGAAAGACAAACTAAAACAAGTTAGCTTGCTTTGTCACTGGTATGATCAATGGCATGTAAACAATGTGCATACAGCTTCAAATTTGACTACAAGCCTAGTATATAACTAGTTACTGCATCCAGGGTGTGCAGTGGTAAAGGACCCCAGTCCTTGCTGAGGCGTCTTGCCTAATGCCTGTCCATTTCCCCTCACTCCCCTGGATAATACTGCCACCTTGTGGGAGATCAGCACATATACCACAGTGTAAAAATACTCATTTACAAGTTAAACTCTTGCATCTGCAAATCATTAGTACAAGTACAAAAGCATAAGCATCGAAATATGCATTATGGCCCATTTCAGAACAATATTATAATGTTAGTGGATTATAATCATTGGTGCATTAATGTGTTCATTACTTCACTGTTGCAGCTGGTAAAGGAGGAGCTCATTATCTCATTACTTCATATAGTGCTGGGTAGTTTAATCCATAATAATGGATTATAACAAATGTAGTGGAATAAATATTACAATATTTACAATATATTAAGAACCAGCCTACTTAAGTAATGTACTTAGTTACATTCCACCACTTTCTATATATATATATCCCGGTGAGTTTTAAATGTTGCTACACACATAATTGAGCAAAATAATAATATATTGGCTACAAATGTAGTCAGTCTGCTTGAGAAGGCATAACAACTGGTAGGTTCTTATTACTGGAGCATATTAGTTATTAAGTGGCTCCACACTGATTGCAGCTGATGGAGGCTACAGTCCATTAAGAGCTGGATTCTATACAACCTGGATTTACTGCACAATAGCTAATGATGCCCACTGTCTCTGTAGAATATTCTCTGCATGAACACCAATCTCTAGCTGTATCTGTCCTTTTCTGTATAGCTGTAAACATACAAACATTTCTATTTACTGAGAGTACAAACCATTGACAGTACGGTATAAACCTATTGATAAGGAGGTTCACACAGTGAGACACCTGCTGGTCGGTTTTTGGCTTTACTGTCCACATCGTAAGGAAAACATCATGATCAAACACTGTAACATTATAATCCATACACCAACAGGAAGAAAATTAAAGTTCATTAACAACATTGAATTTGTGTTGTCATTGTAGGTCATATGCGGCAGCGTCCAACCTATCAGTAAGAGCCTAATAAATTATTCAATTATCAATTATAATAATACATTATTAAAGTCTAAAAGCCATATGGTCTGTTATAGTGACCTGGTAGCTATCTTCCGCATATGTGTATAAAATCAGCACATTTTTGTTTCCTCCAGCGTTACACATCTGTTTCCATTGTGAAGTTCAACTCGGCTTTTATTTTGAAAAGAGGCGTACCTAACAGTGTGATGCTGGCTTGGCAGCAGCCGCCGGAGAGTGGAGGAAGACATCTGCACTTATGTCACATAACACAAGACTGAGTTAGCTGAATTGGGAACAGACGTGGTGGGCTCTGCATGTTGCATGTTACCGGCGGTCACTGAGCTGTTAGGCCATCCTTTCTGCCTTAATGGCGCTTATTATAGGCTCTCTTTAAAAAGAACTCATCGTTGTTAAGTAACAGACCTTCAGGTGGTTTCATTGTCGGTCTGATTATATCATCAGAGGAGATTCATACCTGAGGATAACTCGTCGGAGTTTATTCGAAACGGAATCGATGCAATTGGTTCAGTCTAAATTCAACCGGATTTGTTATTTTTCGGATGTGTGACACAGTGTAGCGCCGCCCGATTGTCACTTACCGCTAATAAACTACCATGGAGGTCGGGGCCGACAATTCAAAGATGCCATCTGATGAGAGAGATTATGCTCTGAAACCCTTAGATTTCAAAGCGATCGCAGAGAGGAGTGCGGAAGCCGAGGCGCAGAGACCCACATGGAGTGGGCGGCTGGATTTCATCCTGGCATCGGTGGGCTACGCGGTGGGACTGGGCAATGTCTGGAGGTTTCCCTACCTTTGCTATAGCAGTGGCGGAGGTAAGGCTGTCTCAGAGGGGAAGGATGTTTGCAGAAGTGTTGTAATAGCCCTTAAAGAAAGAAATCAAACCCTAAGCAGGGCTGAACTGGGGAATTGGATAGAGATTGTTTACAAATGTATTTACAGTGAAACAGACTTCTACTTTGCGTAGGTTGTGGCCACTAAAAACAACTTTCCTGATACCCACTCCAGGCCTGTAAAATCAACTTTTTCCACACTGTTATAGAGGTGTTAACTCAACTATAAGCCCATATATAAATATATACATGTATAATCATAGAGTGCCTAGTTAGTGATGACAGTGTTTACAAAAACTGAATATTACAAATGTCATAAAGGTAGAATGTATGGCTGAGATGTTGTATTGAACTGCTGTCTATTGTACAGGTGTACTTAATGAAGTTACCACTGGGTGTATATTGTATACAGTACCTGAATAGTGATGTGTACCAACAATATTTACAAAATATATCATTAAGTTTATAAAGACACACAAAAAAAGGGACATTTTGAGAACGAGTATGTATTAATACTGTTTGGGTCCGTTGATCTTCATATTGCCTACTAAATGTCCTTCCCCCGTTACCAAACCCGCACACACACCTTTCCTGCCTTTCCTGATCACTACCTTTTGTATTACTTCCCTCTGACTCCGGTGTTAATGTGCCTGATCAATCACCAGCATTAACATACGGTTTATGTATAAAAGTACCTTATTTCATTTGCTCTGGGTCCGCTTACCGACTCAGACCTGCTCTGTGTATGGAAGTTCACCAGGATGCCGGCATGCTTTATTAAACTCTAGGGCTGTAATGGTTCCGAAACCGAGACCGCAATCGCGACACACTCGCTCCCCGGACTGTTGTTGGACTGTATATCGTATTTGTATTGACAGTAGGTTATTCTAGGTCATTTTCCACCTTATTTTAGTGTTTATTTACTACTTTAATCTGCTCCCTTTCTCTTCTCCCCACACACACACACACACAGCACACACACCTGGACCTCTGCTCACTCGCGGCAAACACGCCCGCTTGCTCCGCCTCTTTCTGTCTCTCTCTCCGTGTGTGTGTCTCTAATGACTTTCTCCATCAGCAGTACGTTTCATAAACTCAACCGTGATTCAGTTTTCAAGTGCGCCGCATGTTGGCCAAACCCGAAACTTACGTTAACGAGTGACATCTGCAGTGAGGCGTTCACTGACGCTCCGTAATGTAAGATTTCAAAGATAACAAATAAAACGGGGAAAACCGCGGTATGAACCGAACCGTGGCTCAAACTGTGGATTTGGTGAATCGTTACACCCCTATTAAACTCACAAACTGGACTCGAATGATTTTTCTTCACCAATAGCCATTATTCTGACTGCCCTGTTCAAAATGTATAAAGATTATTAGGGATGAGCATTATAAGCAGTCACATGCAGTGTGACTGGTACAGGATTTACATAAATAGAACAATAGTCTCAGTCATAACCAGGGTTATTACAACAGAAACTGCATAGACGAATCAGTGTTTTTTTATTTTGAAACTGCATCCCACGTGTCAATTAAGTGTTTATGTCCCACACCATTAATGGAATTTAAAGTCATCCATCCATTCTGTAAACCACTTACTTTGCTCAGGTGTTTCTTTGGTGGCTGGACCCCAAACCAGCACATATCTGGCAACGTTAGGCGAGGTTGCCAAGTCTGTCATAGACCTAACACATACAGACTGAGACCACGTGGGAAAAGAAATGTAAAATGTGGCCACAGTTTTTTTTTTTTTTACAATGAATGTTCTCTTCAGCTTTAAATACCAAACACTGACAGTTAGTGCCTGGAGCTAAAATCATTTAGTTTTGTTTGAAAAGGCCAACCTAGTTCTCACTCACTATTCTGTTGGAGCACTTTTTAATCAGCAAAGACATCCGTAGGTTTATGATCATAATAATTAATCACTATATAGACGTATGATACAAGTCAATCCCTTTTTCCCCTCTGTCATGTTACAACATCATCTGTGTTATAACTCAGAATGACTCAGCAAGATTCATCATAGCAACGGTTGAGCATTCATTTTCAATAAGTGAACGTAAGCTCTTTTTTTAGGTGTGGTGTGTACACTAAGCCATGTAGAATTTATCATGTGACCTCAGAACATGCCCCATCCCCCAGATTTTAAGAAGTTCTTAGTGACTTGTTAAGCACTAATACCGCACTAACCAATCATAAAGCCTTTTATAACAACCAAGAAACCTATTGTACAGCAGGTATGATTTATCTAAGCAATAACACAGCAGTTTAATTATCTCCAGAGGCATTATGACGCATACTTGACATTCTTAGGAGGAGGAGATCGATAGTATCCTCCACCCACCTTTCTTCTCTGTTCTTCTTCTGATTCAGGTGCCTTCATGATCCCTTATCTCACCATGGTGATCCTGTGTGGCATTCCCCTGCTCTACATGGAGTTTGCTATTGGGCAGTACTCTCGTTTAGGGCCCGTGCATGCTTTCGCCAAAATCTGTCCCTTGTTTAAAGGTGAGTGACTTTTTCCTGGCCAAAGGCTCCTCTGGTGTGACGAGGACGAACATCTGATGAGTCATTCTTCCCTTTCACGTTCTTGTGGACGATACTTGCCATGTTTTTTTTGTCTGGACATTGTTTGTTTTTTTTAATTATTGGAGTATGTATGCAAAGTTTGCCACATGCCCTGGAGCTGTGCACTGTTTTGCTAATTTATTTTTTTCAAATGCAAAGTGTCAATAACAAAACTAACCGGTACATCAGCCTCTTGTATACTCAGATTAAAGAAGAATGTCTGTGCAACTATTTATTTTAACAAGAAAAAGGACAATTTGAGTTCACAGAAGTACTTCCGCCAGAGAAAGTAGACCTTTCTGTCATTACTCATTTAAGCAGGAAAGAGCAGTGACTGGAATATATGTCAGGGAATGAGAGTAATTACTTTATTTGTATAGTTACCATAAATTTGTTACTACAATTCATCAATGAACAAATTACCTCCCCAAAAAGAGTTAATTATTAACCATCAGTTCCAGAAATCCCAGTTGATCAATACAGTAAACAAAGAGCTCCAAATTTTTTGAACTAGACTCTTCCTGGAGAGGAGTATTGGTATAAAGAATGTGGTCCTATCAATTCATCCAGGTCGTTTAATGAGAGGATGACACATGTTTATGTATTTAACATTTGTAACAAAAAGTGACAATAAAAGATTAAAACACAATAGATAATGGCAGTAGCTACATTAGCTGTCAATAATAGTCTGTTAGGGAGTGAGTCAGTAGAAATGAAGCAATAAAGTAGACTGTTTTGTACCTAAATGGTACTCGCAGTCATGTTTGCTTAATGATAAACTGCAAATTTTCTGAGATAAACACAATGTGTATCTCTAGTCACTGTTACAAAAAAAATAGCATGTATTTGCTCTTCCTTGACACGTGGTTGTCAGAACAAAGAACCGGAAACGTGACACGTGTGCTGACTTGCAGGTGCGTAAGGACAAATCAAATACTGTATACAATACTGTATGTACATTGTATCAAAGTACAGAGTACAGTGCATTCGTCTGTGAGGGAGGAAGACAATGAAATCTGATCCTGTCTTGCTCGTAAAACCTGTGGTGATGTATCGTCAGATTGACATACTGAAAAAGAGGTCCAACCAAGCAAACTAGTCCTCCTCCCCACTTAATAATAACATAATAATGTATTTTATACAGTTTTCTAATGACACGCTGTTTGTCTGTCTCAGTATATTTGACGCAGATCTGGATCCAAAACCAGCTTAAACTATTTTTTATTTTTTATCGAAACAATATTCAGTTTAGAAGACTGTCTGTGCTGCACATTGAAGTGCTTTCTGTTGCCTTTTTTAAATTAAATCTGCCCGTTTCTGTCTGATAAATGGATTGTTTTCACATGTTGATGGATGAGAACTTGTTAAGTGGACTTTTCAATCACTTTCTTATTTGACTTCTTAATCTTAATCATTTTAATTATACATTCTCCAAAATTGAATGAACATAACATTTATACCATCCGGAAAGAAATCATGAAATCAGCTGAACCATGACGTGAATATCCTTAAATTTGATACCAGTGATTGATAATAAGTCAAAGATGTGGGACTGAATGTGCTCTCACAGTCTGCTTTGATTCTTAAAACAAATTGTAAACATCGGACAAATCGTGTGGCTCAGTAGAACAAGTTGTTTGGTTAAAAACTTAAAGTGCTTTTTAAAAACAATGACACACACCAGAAAGTATTTTCTATAACTATAAATCAGATGTGTGAATGAACTGCAATGTGTGGACTGAGAGAGCACTGGCAGCTCATCAAACTGTTCAAATCAAACAAGAGCCCAGCCATCAACAATAATTACTCATGGGTGTGAAATGAAAATGCTGCCTGTCCTGTTCTAACTTAAGATTTTTCTCCATAGTTTTCTTATCTCCTTAAAGACAGAGATTATCTACCCGGTCAAAACGTATGGGTCCTTCACTTGATTTATCGCTCATTTCTTCCTGGTTAATGCTCTGTGCTAAACAAGGTCCAAAAGCAGGTAGTTTTTTCTCTGTATGTTCTTTTAAATGATTTCCCTGTGCAACTCAGTGCAGTTTGCTGTGATGTACCTGTGATCCGTGATTTAGATTCCCACAAATATCTATCCCAAATCAACGAAAATGCTCATGTTAAATTTACTGCAGCATGCTTAATTACAGCATAGAAATGTATACTTTTAATTGTTAAATTAAGGACTTGTTGATTGTCTCATTTGTCTCAGTGAAGGCGTCTAGTGGACAGGTGAGGTATGACAGGGGGATGAACTAATAAAGAAGAGATAGAAGAGGATGGCTCTAACCGATTAACTCAATCTTTAACTGGTCTGCCTTGTTTTTCAGTTCAGCAGACTGTAATGTTTTTGACAGTTTAAATCGACGCATTACTTCCACATCGGGGTGTGTCCAGTGTACCGGTGAAGCGGTCAACCATGTGAGCTAGATATGTGGAGGGAGAGAGGCAAACAGGCAATCACAAAGAAAGGAGCGCTTAGTGTGAATCATATACAGTGGTTCTAGCTGATCCTTGAGCTCAGAGAGGGTTTCCTTTGGTTCTGTCATTATGATGACACAGCAGTTTTTCAGTCGCCTGTCCTTCCATTTTACCAGATAATGACACACGATCCAGTGGAGCATGGCATTCCAGTCGAGTACAAAAATTTTTTCAGGAAGCAAAGTTTTTATATACTGCTGAAGAACAGGGAGCCACGTGGTTTTGTTCCTCTGAAATGATAAAAATCACAAAGTCGCCAGTGATAACATGATGCAAAGGATTGGGAATAGTAATAGAAAAAGGAATAGTTTGACATCTTTGGAAATGAGCTAATTCGCTTTCTTGCCAAGAGTTATTTGAGAAGAATGATGCCCCTCTGCAGGAGTCGAAGCACAGGGGTGGTAAAATGTGCCGGGCCACTCCAGCTGCCACCCAAGTTTGATGTCAAATTCTGTCACAATTAACACATTCTTTTAGTTTAATTATGAAAAAAACGTCAAGTGATTTAATGATTTGTATGACCACATTTTAGATTAAGTGATTGGCTTAAGTTGGAAAAATGTCTTAAGATTTGTCCCTCTTACACTAGTATGGTAAATATGTAGCTGGAGCATAAAGCCAGTTAGCTTAGCTTAGCATAAAGACTGGAAACAAAGGAAACAGTTAGCTTGCCTACTTGGTAAAGACCAGGCTGAGACCAGTTGGTGCAACCGACCCCAGGAAATCTGGTTCGTAAATAGAATAGAAATAGTTGGGCACATAAACCCTCATAAAAGGTGTCTTTTTTTTACATTTCCCTTTGTGCACAGATGAAACAAACAATGGCTGGTAGTTGGATTTTGTTACCTTTTGGACAGAGCATCTGTTTCCAGTCTTTGTGCTTAGCTAACATATTTACTGTATAAATGAGATCGGGTATCAATCTACTCATTTAACTCTCAGTGGATACGCGTATTTCCTAAAATGTTGAACTGTTATTTTATATTCTGATAGCAATATTTAAGTTCTTTTTGTTGTGTCAGATAGAGCAAAAAGTAGTGCTGTTTTTCCAGAAATTACAGTTTATACAGACAAAACAAACTTCAAATTCAGTTCTTATCAGGGAAAACATATTGAGGTTACTTTCCCTTATTTAAAAAAATGTTTAGGTTTGATTCTCCCTATCCACTCCACTGAAGTGACCTTGAGCAAAATAATGAACCTCTAACCTGCTGTAGTGGTTAAGCTCTTTTGCTGAGTCATTGCTCAGCAACAGGTGAGAAAACTAGAAACACACATATACACAGGCATATACACCCCAACCTGAAATATGATAACCCAGCTTAGAACCACAGGTGTTAAAAGACTGAATAATTGATCTGTTTAATCTGTTGGAAGACTTTGATCTCACCTTTGTTCAGTTGGTCAAGAGCCTGTTATATCCACAGACCAAATGACACAGTGGAATTTCTAATCCATTGCTCCGGGAATGCCTTTTATGTGTTGCCGAGTTTTGCTTGACTTCACCTTGGCCACCACTGACCAGAGTTTAGATGATACTGGCTCTTCTCTGTTGTCTATCTTTATGCAAGACGTAGGCTATACCCATAATTATAATCCCGGGCTCAAATAATTTACCCTTCCCTGCAAAGAATAAGATGAGAGTGAGTGATTTAAAGTTTAACAGTTTTTAAAAAAAGTACACTTCTTCCCCACAGATGGTTTAATGTCTGCAGGGCTGTCTCTCACTTCGTGTCCTCTTCCCCTACGTGTCACTCTGCAGGTGTTGGTCTGGCCACAGTCGTTATCTCCTTTGTGTTCTCCACGTACTACAATGTGCTCATGAGCTGGGCACTTTTCTACCTGTTCAACTCATTCAAGGCGGTCCTCCCCTGGACGTCCTGCAACAACACCTGGAATGCCGTCGGCAACTGTTCCAGCGGTTTCCCCGGGAACAACACACACCTCCAGTCAGCCAGCCAACAGTTCTTTGAGTGAGAATAGTTCGTTTTCAACTGCAGAAATGTGCTGTGTCGTTATTTATTGCTGTTTTTGGTTATATCACATGGAAAATGTCTGTACATGTAGCAAAATGTAAATCAAAACTGACTGATCGAACCTCACCCACACAGCCCTGATGGAGCAGATTAGCTGAAAACCTAAACTGTTGCTAATTTAGTCATGGATATCTGATGTTATATAGAAATACAGGGGCTTTTACATTAATGAGAATCACTCATTTGTATTTTTGCACTTTCCAGTCACAGGCTTCTGGAGAAAACCAGTGGCATTGAAGAAGCCGGTGGCCTTCGCTGGGAACTCTTTGGTTATCTCTTCATTTCCTGGGTCATCGTGTATTTATGCATATTCAAAGGAGTCAAATCTACTGGCAAGGTCAGAATAATGGCAAGATGTCATGTTTAATTTCACTGTTCGTTGTTAGAAAATGTTACTTCCTCTGATTTTTGAATATTTGTAATTCAGGGATTCAAAAGGAATACAGTATATAGTCTGTATAAGTATTTTCTTTTCTCAAAGTGGCGTTTAAAATAATAAGATCGTGGGATACTTTTTTTGTTACACACTCGGGAAGCAGATGGAAATATATTAAAACAAACAAGACAAGCTTCAGATACAAAACAAATATGTTTGCTCAGCCAACTCAGATTCAGGACATGATAAAATGAGACAGAGAAGTAATATACTTGTAATTCATCAACTGTCAATTTTGATAAAAAAATAACCTTGTTTGGGCTTGGCTGAGATATTTTAGCAAACCACAAATCATTCTCACTGGTGTCACTGAAAACCCGCCACAGAGATCAACTTGAAACTTGATCCGTTTCTATTTTTCATTGTTTGTGTCATAGGTTGTGTATTTCACCGCTGTGTTTCCGTACTTCATCCTGTTTGCCCTGCTCATTAATAATGTGCAGCTGCCTGGAGCCAAGAATGGTATCCTCTACTTTGTGACGCCTGTCTGGAGCAAACTGTTTGAAGTGAAGGTGAGACTCTGTTAATGAATGAGCACCATCAAAAAGTAGACTACAACATAAGAGTTACATGCATAAACTGTATAATTAAAAATGGACTCCATAGTCTCTGTGACGTCACTCATAGGTTTCTAAAGAACCGCTGCGAAGCCTAATGCCTACACATAGAGCGCAAGTGGAGCTGAGGAGGGCTGAAACATGTTCACTTATGCTGTAAAGTTGAGCATTTTAATATGGGGCCTTATGGAAAAATACTCACTTCTGTAGCCAGCCACAAGTGGCCGTTGGAGGAACTGCAGCTTTTAGCATGTATGTTTGGCTTCATTTGCCAGCCACTGAGATTCCTGCTTGGTTACATGTTGGTAATTATTATACAGTAGAGTTTGATAAATGGTATGAAACTTATATTTACCTTTTCATATGTCAGAGAGTAAGGAAGTGAATGCAAATTCTTAAAATGAAGCCTCCTTATGGAGAACAGGCATTTGTCTTGTGTTTGCTTAAGCTTAAACTAAAGCCAGAACTGCTAAAGGGAAAGGGAGGAGGTCATTGCAACAATGAACTCAATAAACCGCTTAGGTTGAAGGACACCCCTAGAAAGTGAAACATTTGGCTTTGAACATTTTAGGAAGAGCTGCCAGAATAAAATTTAAGGACAGAAAGCTAAACCTGAGTGATAGTTTCCCTCTGATGTTAAATAAAATCCAAAGCAAGCACTTCAGCTCTCCCAGAAAACTCTGCTCCAACTACAGATGGGTCTTTTTTTATACCTGTCACTAGCACAAAAACAAGTAAGCTGAATACTTACTGAGTTGACAATAGCCCAACTTAGGTTTAGTGCTGTAAATGTGAACATCAGTGATCCTGTGCACTGAACAAGAACATTAACACACTCAAAAACAGCTTGGGTGTAGTTTTAATCAGATTTGATCGTCACATTCAAATATTGCTAAATCCTGTGAGAAGAATTCAGAAACACAAATACAGAAATCTCTGATGTCAATTAACCAAGACTATTCAAAGTTTAGCGGAAGCTGTTTTACTTCTTGGAGTTATTTAGAGTAAAAAACTGATGGTGTGTGGTATATAAGATAGATCATTTCGAAAGTCTGGAGAGAAAATCCATGCTGTTTGTAATGTGACTTGATTCATCACACCGGCCTGACATCCTTCAGAGAACTAGCAACTCTCAGTTTCAAGCTGTGCTGAAGTCAGTCCTCATGCTCTCCTTCCTCTCCATCACAGGTTTGGGTTCATGCAGCTGCCCAGGTGTTTAACTCCATTGGAATAGCATTTGGCTCCATGATTTCGATGGCTAGTTACAACAAGTTCAACAACAACATCCTCAGGTAAATGATGTGATGTTCTCTGTTTGAAAAAGCTGTGCTATGTTTGTGACTGTCCAGCAAAATATGCCCTAATGAAATAATGTAGATGCAGGTACAATAGTGAATTATAATGTGTTTTCTGTGTGTATTATGAATATTTATGGGACTCGCTGATATTAAACTGCACAACCCAAACATGCTAATAGTATTAATAATCATTCAGTAACAAGATGAACAACAAATGGGAATACTATCTTATCAGTTTTCCCTCTCCCTCCCTATATATAAGAGAAACATCATATCCAAAAATACAACTGATTCACTTGCCTAAAAATATATATATATTTATATTTACTCTTTACCACAAATGACTCCAAGATCATCCACTATAGTCTTGACAAAGTGCTGTAACAGTGCTCTCAGTCGTCTGTGTTGTAAAAGGAGCTTCTGTATGGCTGTTTTGTTCAACAGCAGAGGAACAAAGTGGACAAACTGTTTATGGAAGAAGCTCCAATTTTTGGTCTTCTCTTTCTAAATTTGCTGTGTTTACTGTGGTCGTACGCTTCAGCTGCTCTCTGGAAAGGTTACTCCCATCCTGCAGTGAATCTGCTGGACTCACTACCATCAACATAGCCGACCAGGGAGAAACAGAGAACGCTTGATAGGAAATTAAGAATCACTAGTTTCATTTAGAACAAGAAGAGATTAGGGGTGTACAATACAGTAGATATGCATCAATGGAGGCCTCAGCTTCTCTGTGGGATGCATAAAATAGATCAGAAACCCTCAACTGTCCTACATTTTTTACCTGCCACAGACACTTTTTACTTTCATTTCCAATTTTTAAATAGAAACACTGAAAACAGCTGTCTTGATTAGGCCGATATTGTCCGAAGATATTGGCCTATTATATAATTTTTGCAGCCCATGGAGCTGCCCCCTGCTGGCCAAAGAATGCAGTCTAGTACCCTTGTTTCCCTGAGTTTCTTGAACTTATTATACTAACTATATTATTTTGTCCTCCTCCTTTCCCAGGGATGTTTTGATTGTATCATTTACCAACTCATTCACAAGCATCCTGGCTGGCTTTGTGATCTTCTCGGCTATTGGCTACATGGCTCATGTACACAACCTCCCAGTGGACAACATAGCTACAGATGGTAAGCATCAAGCCTGGAAAGTCCACACCACACTCTCATTGCTCTGTTTTATTTTGAGGGCCTAAACAAGAAGAAAGAATCAGGGACATGATGTGATGTATTAAATGACGTCAGAGTGCTACAGATGGACATACAAATATATCCCAACCTCGGCTGTTAGCTGTAAGAGCTTGTTTTTGTTTTCATCCTCCTGGGAGCCTTTTTTTCCTTCTTTCCATGGAAAAACAAGACACAGATTTCAAGATGTGCACGTTTGCATTGAATATCTAAGATGTCCAGGTCACTCAGGGATAAATAGTGGAAATGTAGAATTTCCTAAAGAGGTACTGATTTTATCCACCAAGTTCAACTTACTCACCATGAGGAGTACTATTAGGAATAAAAACTGCTGTCTTGTGTGGCTCTGGAGAAACTTTGTAAAGTTTGAAAGGCAAGCACTGAAAGTTTAAAACATCATTACAAACTGTAGGGTTTACGAGCAGTGGTCCTTTAGGAGGCTGGCCGCATCTAATGAAAGACATGGGGATTGTAGAATCCAGTTTTTTTGGGGCTCAGCCCATACCAGAGACTATTATATGTCTCTTGTGTATTTCAGGGCAATACTAAATAGCTGGAGTACCCTTTTAAGTAGCTGTTGTAAATTATAGCCATACGTAGCAGCAACATGAGCACAACTTTATTGTCTGCTTGTGTGCTGTTCCTTGCAGCCGCTTTTAGTCAACACAGAGACCTTCTGTGTTCAGGCACTGGGTCAGATAAGAATTTTCTAACCACCAAGACACTGTATCCCAGCCAACTCTAATCAAACTCTTCTCCCTGATTAAAATGTTCTTCATTGTTTTTTTTAAAGGCGTAATGGAAACTATGAGTGTGTACAAAGTGAACCTACTGTGATGGCACCCATTGGTTTGTGGAGTTTTATGCAGCCAGTGAGTGCAGTGCATTCATTATGAAAGTGTTTACTGAGCTAGTAAATCAAGTGAAAAGTAGGTTCATTTCCCCATAAGGCTCAATGCTATTGGGCCCTAGTTTTTTTTTCACATGGAGCTGCCTCCTGCTGGCCATTAGAAAGAATGCAATTTTATGACACTTCTGAATTGGCTTTGACACAAAGGCTCTATTCACTATTTATATACTGTCAATGGTGTATTTTCTGCCTTATTTTGAGCCATACAATCACATTACAGCAATGCCACTTCATTACATTTAAATGTCAAACGCAGTAGAAACAGGTTAATTGAGTTTATGGGTATTCTGTAATAAATTATTTGAAGCTGGCTTGTAAAGACTATACACAGATGAAATTCTCTCTATACTCTTATTCTATTATTTACAAGGTAAGACCATCCTGTAGTCCAGCTTCCCCCAGTATCTTTAACTCATTCATTCACATTGTCCATGAAATTGTATCCAAGGGTGCTCTTTAACACCTCTCACTGAGCCAAATGAGCTGGTCTTAACATATCTCAGATAGGTCAACCAGTAACTAGTAAAGCTAACAACAAAACAATGCAGGTCTGTTATTGTGTTACTCACATGGCATTCAAATGGGGAAGGTATGAAAAAGGGAAAGAAATCAAATAGGTAAATCATCAACACATATTAGCCAATGGGGGGCTCCTGCGAGGACAGGTTGGCTATATGGTCATATGGCTGCAGTCTGACAAAGAGGCAAGGGGAGTGTCCAATAATAGATATAGGTGTAAGCTTAACCATTTAAACTACAGCTTCTGATGATGTAGCAGGTTTAGTTAGGAATAGTTTTTGGGGAAATATTGAGCTAAAACCCACAGCAACAGGGGAACTGTCCTGGCGCTACCCTCTACTGAGCTCTAAAGCTCACTAATAAACACACAATATCTCATTTGTTTATGTGCAATTTTTGCCAGCTGAATTTGTCTACATTTGCATCTTATAGAACTAACGACACATTTACTGTATTATGTTTCAGGTCCTGGTTTGGTGTTTGTTGTGTACCCTGAAGTCCTCTCCACAATGCCATTCTATCAGCTGTGGGCCCCTCTGTTCTTCTTTATGCTGCTGTGTCTGGGCCTGGACAGCCAGGTAAACATCTCTAACACTCCCATAAACATAGTGTGACGGAGGAGGAGGAGGAGGAGGAGGAGGAGGAGGAGGAGGGAAGCACTGCGCTGGGGCACTGCACATTTGAAATAGGGGCAAAGCGGATGTTTCATTGCTCAACTAGAAGATTCCTTGAGTGCCCATTCAAGCTGACTGTGTCTCTGTAACTGTTTACCTAACTGTGTCCATCTTTTGGCCGCGGACATGGAAATGATTACACATACAATGCAGCTAACCCTAACTGCCTCTAGCTAGTATAAATGTACAAGTATTGTGACTTTAATGGTTTTTCCCTGTATTTTTACAGGTACAATAAACTACTTTGCATCCCTTTTATTTCATAAAAAAAAACATCTGAGGTGATAATTACTCAAATAGCTAATATTTTCTCACCTCTTCCTGTCTCTAATGTATTTAAAATGGCCAAGGTACAAGTAAGTTGTTGTATAATCGAGGTGAGTTTAAGGGACTGAACTCATTCACTTCCTTTTTGCTAACAATCCACAGGCATACTAACACTTGTGTTAGCCTGTAGCCTACTTCTGCACAGTGGTGCTTTGAGCTAAATGCTAACATAATATACTAATGTGCTGATAATGGTATATGTTAACTGTGTTCACTGTTTAGCCTTTTAGCATGCAAACATTTGCTAATCATAACTAACAAGACTGTCATTAGTTTTGCAGGTATTTTGTCATTAGTCAGTGAAAATCTGCTGTCCTATACTTAACATTCATATCATAATATGGCTAAATATGCTGTTTCCATGTGGGTGTTGTCTGACAACCAATATATGTTTTAACATCCGTCTTTGCAGTTATGTTTACGCAGCTCTTTGCACAGCCTCATACCACAAACAAAAGATACAAAAATGTCTCAAAGTCATAACAAGTCAAGAGGGAACCACTGTTTATTCTGCAAATTGGATCACTGTCATAAACACAGTCCGTGTTTTCTTTGTGCCACAGTTCGCTACAGTGGAGGTCGCCATAACGTTCATAAAAGATGAGTTCGGCCCCGTAGTTCTGCGTTTCCTGAAGAGAGAGGAGCTGCTGACTCTGGCAGTGTGCATTGTTTGCTTTATCCTCGGGCTTCCTCATGTTACAAAGGTAAATTATGTAACAGCAAGACCTTTGACTCAGTGAAACTTACTGGAAGATGTGTTATTATTAAGCAATTGTGGGTTTTCTCTTCCCCTCTCTCTCTTCTCCTTCCTGCACAGGGAGGTATCTATGTGTTTCAGCTGATGGATCACTACACCGCTGTGGTTTCGCTCGTGTTTCTGGCTTTTTTTGAAGTTGTAGCTGTCTGCTGGATCTTTGGTAAGCTCAGACGTAGATGTCCTGTTTGTGGTAAATGCTTCAGCCACCAGGATTTTCTGTGGCGGGACAGTTATTACACTAAACCTGGCATATCCACATATAACGATATGGATTACATATAATGGAGTTACGTAATAAGATAACAATAAAAAAGGTAACTGCATGTTAGTTAGAGAAAAAAAAGATGTAATTAGATTACAGTTTACAGATTACAGCATTTAGTAAAATTTAGTAGCAGGAATACTAATACATAAAATACATTTAACAATAGTAAACAGTGCTACCTCGCACAGTGCACACACATTACATCACTTCACAAGTACTTGGCCAAATAAATGAGGATAAAAACAAACAAACAACAAAGGTCATGTGCCTATGGGCCTAATCTCCTCGGGCAGGGAGTTCCAGAGCCTAGGGGCCATGACAAAAAGCCCGGTCGCCCTTAGTCACCAGCCAAGACCTAGGAACAGCTAACAAGGACAGGCTTAAGGATCTCAGAATATGATTGTAAGCGTAGGGAGTTCAGAGCTCTGCCATGTAACTAGGGGCTATGACATGTTGTGGGCTGGGCCACTCTGGTCTCTAGTGAAGAAATGCTTCCCTTGGTTGGAATTTCACCATTATTTTGTCTTTAAAGCAAAAAAAAGGGGAACAACAGCACAATACAGTACAAGTTGTTCCTTCCAGCTGTGAAAATGGTCCACAGGCTTCATTAAAAAGCAATCTTTTATCAAAAAATACTCTGAATACACATTTTTTATATTAAAAATCCTCGTTCTGTTGTCTTATAGAATAGTAAAAGTCATCTTCTACATATTTCTGTTTTTGTGTCTTTATTTGCATATTTTTTATGTTGAGGTAGGGTTAATTAATATTCTTTATTAGGTTACTGATTACATTTTTAAAGTAACCCTTCCAATCCTGGTTGTCCTGTCTTTTTCCATCAGGTGTCCCAAGAATCTCTTTAATGATTGAGAGGATGCAAGGAAAAACCCCAAACATCTACTTTCGTCTCTGTTGGCTGCTGCTCTGTCCTATGTTGGTGCTGGTGAGGTTTAAACTAAATAAAATCACCACAGCTTCTAGTATTGCTCAGTACAATAATTTGAATAATGATGGTCGTTTGATGTAGTTTTAACGCTATCCTTTTCCCTACATAGATTATACTGATCTCCAGCATTGCCCAGTACACTCCTGCTCACTATGGGAAGTACAAATACCCATTGTGGGCTGAATGGGTGGGTTGGGGTGTCTCACTGGTCTCTATAGTGTGGATCCCACTTGGAGCAATTCAAGAGATGTATAACAACAAAGGCTCATTTCTTGAGGTGAGTGCAAGACACATATTTAGACGAGTAACTGTGTTTAGCAGGTATAAAGTTTACCATCTTAGTTGTGGTAAATGTATTTACACAAGGTTGCATAATGAAATGTTTGCAGTCCTTTCATAGTACACATATAGAAAAGGTAATAAAACTATATTATATATATAGTTGAATAGGCTGAATGTCATGTTGTGCAGGTATACAGTAAATTCATCCTGAAGGGGACCTGAATGTGTACCAGATTTCATGACAATACATCCAATAGTTGTTTCATTCATTTCACTAATAAACAGAAATGTCAACTTCATGGTGGTGCTAGAAGAAAAGTCAGGGGTTCACAAATGTCATTCGAATACGTAGTGCGGAAACCATGAATGCCTTTACAAAGATTTATGCTAATCCATGGTGTGAGATTATTCTCACAGATGTCTTGTACCAGAATTGAATGGCATACCAATCGTCTAATAGTTGATGAGATATTTAAGTCTCGACCAAAGTGGTGGACCCACAGACCAACACTTTGCCACTGGGTGTTACCGAGTAGTCCATTTTACCAATTGTACCATTTTTCTCTTTGTATATGTGCCTGAGCTGTTTCTAAAATGTTGTCTTCTCCAACCCTCAGAGACTTAAAACAACAATGACCTCCACAATAGACCTGGATGCTGAGGATTCCCTGCCAGAGAAACAAAACCTAGACAACCCGGCGTCTGACACCTTGATCAGTTCAGTGGCATGACCAGGAATACAGCCAAAGCCATGTCTATTCATCGTTACAAACCAAACCTTGTCATACGGTGTTGAATAAGGGTGCTGTTTGGTGATGTACAACTGTATTTATACTCTTTACGTTTCTATCATAAAATTATAATCGTATCATATTTCCTCTACCAAAGGATGGACTGGAGTGCCGTATCTTAAACCTACATTTATAGTACCACATTTAAAGTAATTGCATGAAAACGCCCTTCACTTTGTGCAAAGTGTATAATGAAAAGCTGAGATTTCGTCCACCAACTAAAGGTCAATTTAATTTAATTTAATATAAGTTAGGTAAAAGTGATCATGTGCCCTGTCTTTACTATGCAGGTGCCAATCCAAACCAAAGATTTCAATGATTCCCCCCTTTGGTTGATTAATCAGTGAAAATGTCTGGCGTATGCAGTGACGTTTTCTCTTGCAATGTGTGATAGACGTCAGCGAGTTTGTGTGGTGTAAGAGTTTACTACTCATCTATGGCAGAGGCAATCAGGAGCTTATTAACTTTTTTGTTTAATACATCTGTAGACTAAATCCTTTTAATCAAACACTTCACAGAAACCTCTAATCGCTGCAGGAACATGCAGTCCTCTTTGTCCACAACCAGTGTTATCTTTGTGGGCCAACCCATAATGCATTGTGCCGTTTTTTAACATTCGCTAATGTTCACTTCCCTCATGTACAATAGTGGTTAGTGAGTGATGCGATGAGGGCAGCAGGTTAATGTTATACCCAAGTGTCCTGAACTCAAATGAACGTAAATCAGCGCTTGGAGTTTTTCATCTTTACAGACTGAAGAATTTGTTTTATTTCATAGTAATGCATTTGACTTTATTTTTAAACTATCTTGGAGCAGACAACTCAGTTTTAGAGATTATGAAGGTGCCTTTGATCTAAGTCTATGAAGTGGAATTGGACTAATGAAGGCAGATGATCTGCAAGAGGGCAACACTTATCTGGTAATCTGGAAACTCTCCATTCAGAGTCCCATATTCTATTGACCCAAAACCTGCAGTTAATCACTGACTGTTTTATCTCACGCTTCTTAACAGAAAAGGAGGCTATAAAAGTTTACCATGGTGGAAACATAATTTATTTTACTCAAGCTTTAACTTTGAGATTGTACTGTAGTGTTAAGTGATGTTTTTTTTAATGGTTGACCTCTCTGAGAGCAAGAGGAGTTAGTTTGAACCAGATCCTGTAAAGTCTAAATGCTATCTAACGCAGGGTGAAAAGGGTTCAGTCAGTGTTGGAACTGTAAGCTTTGAGTTAATATATTATATAGACAATCTACCTCAACTGGAAATGACCAGAGGAGATATGTGTAAACGGGGAAAGTCACACTTTTATGCCCTCAGATTGTCTAAAATGTGCCCTACTAAAAGTGCATTATTGGCCTGGTACCTTATCAAACTAACCCTCATTTAGGAGTGCCTTCTATCTAAAGTACTGATACATAGCACGCACAATAAACGCTGAAACTGAATATGATTTTAAAATGATGCAAGGAACAATTAAATAAGATATTTCTCAACAATTATATCACTCCAGTTGTGTATTTGTTTTCCTAACCTGTAGGTTGAGGAACATAATTAATCTTTGTCCTTTTTTCTGTATCATGGAACTTAATGTTACCTGCCTCAAGTGCCTTTCATGTTCTTTTTTAAATTTTGTATATGTTTATATGTTTAATGTTTAATTAGACAACCAAAACATTTATTTAAGATGTGTCATATTGTATATGTTGTTTTAAGCTACATGATTTTACTTTGTCATGAATTTTATCAGATGTACAAGGACAATTTAAAAGCACTTTTAGAACACAATAGGTCCCTGTTTACCCTTTTTAGTATTTGCTGTTCTAATATGGACTAAAATGCAAATTGTAATGGGCTATTAATTAAATTATGCTTTTTTGTTTAGAAATGTACGAAGTCTGGGTTAATTGAATAACAGGAGCTGGGAAACTGTGTACCATGACGTGCTGACATATCAACCACACACCACGCCTTCTGATTTCGCTGATTAGTTTCAGTTGATCCTCTCGGCCTTATTGATCAGTGACGTCAGCTGCTGCAGTTTGCAGAGTCTTTGCTCCATGAAACAAGACTACCCCTCCCTCATCTCAAATATCCCCTAAAATATCATAAGCACATTTAAAATCTGAATGCTGTTTCATGCTATTCCACTGTCATTGTTCTCACATGTACACTGTAACAGTGAGCATCCGACTTTATACAAAAGAACTATATTTGTAAAGTGAGACAGTTTTTTCTTTTATTTCAAGATTAAAAACGTGTTTTTTCATGTTTGTGTTTCAAGATTCTACAAATCTCTTTACCAAATGTTGATTTTTCATATCTGTATGTTTCTATTTTTTATCATATTTCTACTGTGTTGGGATGTGTGGTGTCTAACATTACATAAAAAGCCTTTATTCACTGCTCTGGCATCAGTGAATAACTAATACATGTTACTGTCGTCTGGATTACTACCTCAAAGAGTCACTGGGTGGCAGCAGAGCAGCAAATAAAAAATAAAAATACAATGGAGGAGCTTGAGGAAATATTTGCATGACTGAACTGCTTCACTTTTTCCACTCAGCAATACCCAAACTGCTTTATCTGCTGTACTGCAACATATACATTAAATCAGTTATTTTATGGCAGATCAATGGTTTCTTCACAAAATATTTCAGCAAGGGGAAACTGAGGCAGGAGTTACTACGTCTCCTCTCCTCTGTACTCTTCTTTTCTCACTTATTCCCTTCTTTTCTTGTTTTTTCTCTAAGGCGATCACACTCCATATGTGCACACCTGTGCCTGAGTCATTGTGCAGCAACAAGAACAGGATTCTCACCTGAGCGGGGTCCTTTAATCAAATTTAAATGAATTCAGTTTGATTAAATTCTGATCAATTCAAATCCATGTAAGTCATTTCAGTCAAAAGCAGTTCAAATAAATTCAACTCAGTTTAGTTTCAAAGAGAAAAAAAAACCCAATTCAATATCAAGTTGAAGAAGAAAAGCACTTACCTGGAGACTTACCTTCACACTCTGCCACCTGCTGCCAAACTGTTTCTTCCTCTTCATCAAAAGTCTCAAGTTCTTCACCCACTTCAGCTCAGAGCTGCTACATTACAACCAAGGCTCGCTGGGTGCTTCAGGTGTTTTAGGTGTTTTCAGGGGGTAAAGACTCACTGGGTGCTTGAGGCTGGTTAGAACCCTCAGCAGCTGTTTTAGGGTGATCTTGGTGGGATCATCTGACAGACACAGGTAAATTAGATTAGGAATGTAGCTAGGACAACAGCGGTATCCCGTTTAATGATGTGTTGGGTATATAAGGCAAAGAATTCGTCTAGTCTAGAGGGAACGTCTATGCTGTGGTCTTCCCTCCATGCTGCATGAGTAAAGGAATTTGATTCATCACACTTGGTTTGTAATTCTTCAGACACTAGCACCTCTCCAGATTATGGAAGAATTTCCCCGACACCAGCACCATCAGAACATATATTTTCGACGACGGCACTGGGAACTCTACCAGTAACACCCGCTCTGAGAAAGCTGCAGAAAGTGTAAAAGAGAGCAGAGCCAGGACAAATCTGAATGCAGTGATCTAAGAGGTTTGGAAGTTAATTAGACCCTTGTCGTTGAGTGGTGCTGCAGCATCGCCCTTAGCAGAACTGTACGTTAATCAATACCCCCTTCCTGCTGCCCTCATGACAGAATGTATCATGGGCACTAAATTAGCGCTCAGAGCGCTGTTTGATCAATAGCCATAGACAGTGTAGCCCAAGGGGCAGTATATTAATGGTTATATATGGCAGAGGGGAAGTGTTTGTGGGTCTGAATTGACAATGAAGGGGGAGATGGGTCACTATCTAACTCCTGTTGTGGGGTGTGAAGACGTTAATCTGTGCCAGGCAAAGAGTTAAACCAACTGCTTAGACTCGTGCTGGATCTGTTTCAGCTCTTGTCTGTGTGCACACACATACACCCTCATGAGTGTGTAATAACAACTGTGCTAGAAAAAGAGGCACAAAAACTGGCACGCTGTGAAGAAACTTTAAATGGCACAATCTTCTCTCCCTTGTGAGAATTTAAGGTTTCTTTTACTCCCTCTCCCCTGTTGTTCCTCTATCAGTGCTCTTGTTCTCTTGTTCATGATTTTTATTTGCAGTGTACCGTGTGAAGAAAAGAGGATGCCATCTGTTTTAATTTGAGTGAGTGTGCAAAAGTGTGTGTGTGCGAAGATGATAAAGTGAAAGAAGCAGAGATCAAGGTTGATTACATACTGCTGCTGGTCCTGGGTGTGACGCTGGGAATAGTATAAAGTGCTACATCCAAAGAGGGGAATTTTAACCTCATCATTAACCGCTCCACCCCCATACAGAACGGCTCCATCTTGATGATACGACTGCAGCACTCGGTGCTTCATCTGAGGAATCCACAGCAGCTGCTACATGCTTTCTTCAAGCTAATTGAGGTCACATATGCTTGTGAAGAGGATATCACACGTATATCTAAAGCTAGAAAAACATGTGTCTCTTGAGAACATTATAGCTGAAGTGACAGCAGTGTAAGTTTGTGTGTGGTTCATTCACCAGAGTTTGAAAGTCCTGATGGTTATCAGTTCTGTTGGGTAAACATCTCGAGCTGCAAAGCAATTTTATTATTAACTGAAAACCCTACAAAGTTAACATATATATCAATGAATGCACTAGACCTAAATGTATTTAATGAAGCTTGAATGCTATTGTTCTTCATTGTTGTATTGCACAAATGTCTGTTCAGTGCTGAAAAACACCCTGAAGTGCTGAAAAAAGACGGTGTGGTGATTAAGTAAAGACAACATTTAGTACTGTAGTGGCTGGTAAGATGCTCTTCAATACCTTTGCGTGTGTAGGTGTGTATATATATTAAACTTTAACATTTTTTATCTTAATAGAATTAAGTTTGTGGTGTCTAAAGTTTTAGTGTTCAAAATATACACATGCAGGTACATTTAGATGTGTATTAATGTGATTTGTTTGAGCTTTAAAGACATGTATTTTATACTTTAGCTCTCATAAAGTACAGCACTGCCTAGAATTGTTAATCTTTTTGTAATCTTACCACTTTTTCAGTGGTAACTTTTTCAGGTCAAGTCAAATCAGCACCACAGATCAGATATCTACGACAGTCGATCTTGGTGTCAGTTGACATGAGCTAATTTAGCATCAGCTATATTATTCTTTCATTAAAAACATACATTTCAAAAACATGTGATACACAATCATATCTGTTCCTGGATTCACTGGTCAACACACTACTCTGTTTTTGTGCAGTATTGTATTATTTAATTTCTCAGATGCATGTTTACACTATCATCTAGTTTCCTTGACTTCAAGGCACGTTTTCACTCCGCAGAAACAAATCTCAGAACAAATCTCTCTACTGCAATGCTCATTAACGACTTGCTCTCTTTTGTGGTTTATTTGATGTGCATTTAGCTGCACAGTCTGCAGACAGGGCAGGCAACACAATCGGCATAGAAGGAACATGTAAAACAAAGGTTCAAAGGTTTGTATACATTGCAGAGGATAAGGATGTAAACTGCTGGTAACTTAAATCCCACTGGCTTTGAAATAAATTCAGCCTCTGTCATATACTCAGCCTATTCAAAGGTTTAACATGGCAGTCTTTTTATTTATGCATACAGGATTTGTCCAGTATGTCTGAATAAGCATATTTGTTTATTTATGTTTTCCATTTGAACTCATTAAAATGCTAATGAGTATATCTTGCCAACTATTCATATGCAGATAAGAGCTTTTGAGGCTCGGATGCTACAGTGTGCCCCTGCTGCACCAGTTGCCTTTGTTTAATGAGGATTTTTTTGAGCTTTCTTTCAGACTGTTTGGGATGTGCATACATAACCAGTCTGCTCCTAAACAGAGCTCACCTCCTGCTGGTAATGAGGCCACAGCTCAAGGCATTAGTTGGCCTTTCTCCCAAAAATGAACTGCTGTCATATGTTTATGGAGAGTCCAGTTTCTTTTCAAGCAACAGAGAAGACGGTGCGTTCATATCGCTTTTTTATTGCTCCTTTATTGTCACTATCCAACGTTTTCTGCTGAGTCTAAACAGTCACCACATTATACCTGCACACTAACTAGATCAGCAAGATTTCACTGAATTGTGAACATGTATTTTAGATATGAAATATTTAATATGAACATTGCTTTGTGATATCCCTTTTGGGTTAGTGAATTGGCTTATTTATACACACACACACACACACACACACACACACACACACACACACACACACACACACACACACACACACACAATAGATATATTATGTCCTTAAAAAGTCTTATGATTGAGCTGGAGGCTGAATGTGACTGAGTTTGGAGTCATGTGCGGTCTGTGCAGATCTCCCTGAATACGCCTGGACTCAGAACTGATAGCTATCCAAATAATGAATTCTGTACAATCAGGGAGTCCTGCTTTGTGCATCCTGGAGGATGGCATAAAAAAAGCAGCAGTGCTGCTGCTCTTTCAAAGGAACTTCCCATGGAGAATTTCATTGGATTTTGGACGAGGATGGAATAGATTCTGTAGGTGTGGGCATATATGTGAGAAGTCTGTGTTATATCTCCAAAAATGTCTGATATTTTTTCTGTGTATCACCACAATAAATGTTCTTTTTTGTTGTGTCTTCGAATGCAGGAAAAAACGGCTTTTGTCATGCTAACCTAATGAGGCTGTACAGGAATTTCAATATCTCTAGTCTGCCTTCATAAAGCTGGGAGGGAATTGAATTTGGCCCTGAGGTTGATTAATCTCCTGCATGCCTTTCTGCATTTGCACCTATTTCAACTTGAAGATGGTGCTGTGTGTGCCTTTATTCAATTTAAATGGATTTTTGTAAAACACTATCCTAGTCCAATCTATCATGTTCTTTTTACACTCCCCAAGTATGGCCCCTTTGTTTGCACAGTATTGTTAACCTCTCTCTTGTGATTTATTTTCCTTCCAATGTACCACACGATAAAGCACCTGCCTTACTAACATTTGTATCATTTGTATCACCCAAATAATGATATTACAGTGGGTTTTTTCCCCCTGTGAGGCATAAATATGTTTTTACTGGATGACTAAGATTAGTATAAGTGGATATCAACATTTAATAGTAATTGACTTGATCTTTTGTTTAATTTAATAGAGATTATCCTCCTGATTTGTGATGCGCAAGGATATCTAATCTCACACGAATACCCAAACTCAACTTGCTCCGCCTCCACTCACTGTGAACATGACTGT